TAATGGGAATGATTCCTTCAAGTAACTGAAGAAATCGGTAATTATCATGTATCCTGCTGATTCAGACTGAGTCCTTTTCCAGCATCATTTTGATCAAATCTAATGTCCTGTGGTTTGCAGTGTCCGAAGAGATGACTTCTGACAAGCCCCGAACGATTTCAAGACATGAGAGACTTTGGGAGGGAATGTCGGCTGGCATTCGTTCAACAGTTGGCAAGTTTGAAAGGTAATCTCCCTGCCATGGATCTTGATTCTGTTGCAAAGTCATGGATTTTGAAGAATCTCATTTGCGGTGCAGTGGCGCCCTGAACCTCCTAGTGTACGAGTAGGTCGATTTTTATTAAAGACAAATTTACCTTAGAAGTAGACTGTATATGGTCCGACTCTTGGGTTGAGTATTCAATTGTGGAATCAATCCTTTTCTTGTTAGTGACTTATAATTCTATCTGTGTAGTGAAAATGAACAAAAACATAGGCGAAAACGAGAAATTTGACTTTTGAGTCGTCGACGGAATGAGGAGTACAAATACACAGTGAACAATCGATTACACCCACCATGCACAAGAATATAGACATCACATCCATTATTGCGGGGATTGGCCAATCGATCCAGTGATCCCTCCCAACATATTTCACTGTGCACAGTACTCAGACCAGTCTTCCCTCCCCCACGCCACTGCCTCTCTAAGCTCGGCCTAGCTATATAGAGCCCTAACCCTAGCAAATTACTCGCCACAACTCCACGCATGGAAATAGGATGGAAGATATGATTCGAAGGTCTATGTTATTAGTACTTCACTGGGTAGACTTCATACTGGCAGTTCGGGTTAGTCGGGTATAAAACCGGTCGGGTTGGATGTGCTTGACCGGAACTGAGTTTCGCCCAATTGATGTCCTGGCACCCGGTGAGAGAGGGCTGCGTGTCCAAGTCAACTCAATTCAACCGTCCGGTCGGATCCGGGTTAACAACCTTACCACTTAGCCGCGAGTAAGTCGGTCGTCTCTTGAGAACATGTTAGTGGAGGTCGACCATAGATGTGTTGTTTTGGTTGATCATCATTCGTACATCTTATGTTACTAGGTATTCATGAAAAGTGAAAATAAACCCAACATACACGAGTGTTGTTGTCAGAAAATTTGGCATGAGATCCAATTTTGAACATTTCTCAACAACTCTAGTGTTTGGGATGAGTTGGTTGCCAACATGGTGTTAAAGTCATTGCTCGAGAGGCAGAGGCCGAGCCAAGGCACAAAAAGATGGGTCCCAAGACTCACAGGGGCTTGGGAGAAAGTGTGTATATATAAATACATAGTTAGGTATCGACGAGATTTGAACCCTAAACGCTGTCAGCATTAGTTAATATTTCTCTAATATAATCACATTTAAATAACGAATTTAGTTGTTATCTATATATAATGCATTCTAGTTCCTACATAAATAATATTACAACAAAGTATAACTTCATCCTTCAAGTATGAAATTCTAAATTTTATTCCTCTCCTTCCACCAAATCCTCCTTTTCTTGAAACACGCTATGTTCATTTTATCCTAATAATGAGTTCTCTAATAACTATATCTTAAAACTTGAACCTCAACTAGATTACTATTGGTCGACTAGAAGTTATCTCAAACTAGATATATTTCCCGAGCTTTTAAGATCATGGTAAATGAAAAACGTAACTTGACGTTGTTGCTACCTAGGCCTCTAATGCAAGTGTTGAAACGAGATCTGCAATGCGCTAAATGAAAGAAAAAAAAATATTTAGAATTGGATGAGTGACAAAGTCATGAATGATTATTTCATAAGATACATTGAGATTGATATCATATGAACATATCTTACTATATTTATAAATATGAGAAGACACTGTGGGACACTGTGAATGGTCAAAACTTTTCTTCAAAAATATATATTTGTAGATCAAACCAACCTTCTACAAAATTCCGTCTACGCCATTGTCAAGAGGACGTAAAGTTCTCGAGTAGTCACACTTGAAACAAGTTAAAAACATAAATGTAATTAATATGAGTTTGAATTTTCAAATAAATTAACTAATCGAAATGCTGCATCCAACCCACAAATTATTGGGAATGACTTGCCCGTCTTCCGCCTTTACAAAAAAATGATTTGCAATTGCAATTGATTGAGCTTTTGCGATTACCTCTAAGGTCCAAGCATAGTTTTCCGTAATGAGAAAACCCAAATTGAAGAGCGACCATTAATTAATACGGCTCCACGTTGCTGCTTTTGCTTGCCCTAGTGAGTACACACCGAAAAAACCCTCGAGCCGCTTTTTGTCCATCCCTTACTTCCTTTATTTCGGCTAAATGATTTGCGTGGGTTGATTTGATTTCCCGATCTGACGATGTGATGGTGAGATAATTTAATCAATGTGTATCATGGTTTTTTGTGTGTGCCATGCATTGTTGTGTTTCCCATATATTCAGCAGTAGCGTGTTTGATTGTCTTTTCTTTTACCCAACAATTGCTTAACAATCAACTTACGAGATCGAATCATCGTGGTAATTTAGAAAAATTATGGGATCGCCTATCATTTCTATTTTATTAATTAGTTTTGTATATTCATCATTATCGGGGACTATCGTACTAGTTACTATTTAGTTATTCTGGTCGTTTTTTGGATTTGGTTTTAGTTAGTGTTGAGGATTTAATTATTATTTGCTTGTTGAATAAGTTTTCATATTTCACACAGGGAAAGGGAGAGGATGTCGACGGCCTAGGAGGAGACGGAGATGGATTTTGAGATTTTTCGTTACGTATAAATGTTTTTCTTCGCACTTGCATTTCATGGAGAGAAGATTGGAACCCAAATCGTTTATTATTTATTTATTTATTGCAATATTCTTTAAGTTCTCATTCTAATTTGTACGAATATTAGAGATGTCGAAAACTATCACAATGCACAAACTAACTAGAATCATACAATCGACATAAAATTATTCCTTCTTAACGCGTGTGTAACCATAAATCGATCATGTGGCTACTTATAATTTATAATCCCATCGATTACTGAGCGCAAACATCATAATCGCCAAATCGCATGGCACAAACCCTAGATTCCTCACTAACATGTCCACCGCTGAAGTACATACAACTGTGATCCAAGTAACCTGTAGCCATCATGAGACATCCGATGCAGTGGTCAGAGGTTGGGTCGACGCATTCTGCTTGCGCCCACATTGCATATCCCTGCACCATCGATTTGATACACGTGGCACGCTCCCTTCGGTGAGCCGACGTGTAGTGGAGTTTGACCAAATCCACAAGGATTTTGTCTCTCACCTTGCCTAGCCCGCTCTCTTCTCTAATCGGGAGCGGGCTGCAGTAGTGATCAGGAAAACTGAACGATTCCACTCCATTGCCAATGCACATACGGATCGCGAAGATAAGTACTGTAAATTGTAGCAAACTCCTCATTTTGAACGCATGAAATAATATTGTGCGTGTGGAGATGATTAAGAATGCATATGTGTTTTGCATGTGCGTGTTGAAACGATAATCCACTAATATGATTCAGATTGTTAGCTATAATAAGACTTGCACGTATATCGTGGATAAGATAATCCACGATGTCCACAAATTTATCATTATGCCACGACTAAATCATCCACGATCTGCGCTACATCTGTAACACCCTAAGACTAAACTATAATCACAATTTCATTGATCTAAATTCTCCCTATACTAAAGCAATTGTCGTTTGGTCGACTCTTGGAAAAGAGGAATGGCGACAAGGAGAGTTGATTTTGAGAAACTTAGGGCCGAGCTTTGTGAGAAGGGGACATGAAAGGAATCGGGTTGAAAGCTTGGATTGCAATATTGAGGAAATATCGAGTTTTGATTAATGCGGAGTTATCAAAGGGATTAGCATTCGTTCGGTTGGTTGGGGAAGCTAAACGTAGGGATCAATTGCATTGAACGAGCTTGAACAACATATCTAATTAGTGAAAAGTCTGAGATTATATTTTATCACTTAAAATTAAATATCATTAGGGGGACTACAACCCACTCAGAACTACACGAGCCCTGCACTAAAAATGAATGCATTTATCATGCTGAAGTGGCTAGTCCACGTCACATCTCGATCAACAACCGATGTGGCAAGAAGACCTTATCATATGCCACATCATCATGGTGTACATACGTAAGTTAAATTGAAGTGACATAGCATTGTTAAGTCTTATGCTAAAATAAAATTTGTTCGAAACCCGACAAAATAAGAACGGTACAGAAGACTTATGCCCAAAAATAAAGTTTGGAAAAAACTTATCGAAACAATAATCAAATGTGCCACAACATCTATTTAAGTATTGGCCAAACGATCCCTTCTCCATTCCAGTTAAGGTTTTCTTTTTCTCTTTATGTAATAGCACTAAGGGTTTTGAACCATCTCTCTTTATTATAATTGGGGAAATGAACCAGAAACCCTAGCATAGCAAGGAGTGAAAACCCTAGAGAAAAGAAATCCCAAAAGCTCGGATGCTTATTAGCTTTAGCTAGCAGCTAGAGGTGGGAATAGGATCGAAAGGAGCAGAAGAGCAAAGAGAAGAATAAAGTTGGGGGGAAAGAAGTAGACCAGTGGTTAAGAAGGTGAGGCACAAACTACCAAAGCCACACAAATCAATCAAACCCACATCACATTACACCCCACAAAACACACAACAACAATCAACAACAAAATGAGAAATAATATAAAAAAAAAAAAAGTGGAAAGGAAGAAAACAGCAAACCCACTTCCCCATTTATTTCCTTTCCCTTTATTCTTCCTCTTCAATTAATAAGAAGAAGAAGAAAAAATGAAAAAGGAGAGAACTAATTGCAATAATGTCTGGTAACCAGAGAGTTGGCTGTGTCAAAACCCCAGAAACAAACCCTTCTCCACTGTCCCACTACGAAAGTTACATAACCTCTTATCCCATTTTAGAAATTTCCCTCCTTCTTCCTTCCTTCCTTCCCCTTCCCATCTCTCTTTAAAGAGAGAGTTTTGAATCTTAAGCAACTCCTACTTTACTAGCTCTGGAGGGTAGATAGAGAGATAGATCCAAGAGGAAAAGAAGGAGGGTTTCCCCACTTTGTGCTTGCTAGCTAGTTAATAAAGCTTGCTTCTTTTTCCCTCCATCTTCCTTCTACATAAGTCCTGTTACAAGAAGAAGAAGAACAAGGTTGCTTTGCAAGATCGAAGTGACAGTAATAATGGGTCGTGGGAAGATAGAGATAAAGAGGATAGAGAACTTGAGCAACAGGCAGGTGACATACTCCAAGAGAAGGAATGGAATCATCAAGAAGGCCAAAGAGATCACTGTGCTTTGTGATGCTCAGGTCTCCCTCATCATCTTTGCCAGCTCTGGCAAGATGCATGACTACTGCAGCCCTTCCACCACGTAAATCTGATCTGCATATCTCTTCCTTCTCCTTCTCCATCTCCAACTTCATAACATAGTAAAATGATTACTAATTGATCATATTTCATCTAATCCATATCTATTTCTACCTTCCACCATATATGTACATGTGCAGGCTGCCTGATATACTGGAGAAGTATCACAAGCAGTCTGGTAAGCGGCTCTGGGATGCTAAACATGAGGTAATGGAGCTCCAAAGTTTTGGCCTTTTTTCCCTCATTCTTTTGGGTTCTCCCTTCTCTATGTGATTTGGATCTGGATTTCCTCTCTTTTTCTCCATGAACCCATTTTGTCAAATCAATTTTCTATTGTTTTGTGGTGTTTATGTGTGTTTCATCTCATTTGGTTTGTGGGTAAATGGAGGATCTGAGGAAAAAAAAATCAATTTTCTTTTGTTTTGTTGTTCTTGTTGTTGTTGCTAAAAACGTGATAAGGAGCCTGAAGTTTGAGTTCCTATGAACAGATCTACATTTGGGACATGTAAGAAAGGGCCCAAGAGAGAGAGTGAGAGAGAGAGAGAGCTCTCTACAAGCTCTATGCTCTCTAGCTAGCTTATACCTGCTCTTGGAGTTATGTTTGTAGTTGTTTTTTGGGTTTACATAGCCATCCCATCTCTCAGACTCTCACAAAGGCTGAAACTAAAAACAAAGAAAGACCAAAAAATGGAATGAAATGTAACATCCATCAAAAACAGATCTAGTAATCCACACATGTTTTTCTTCTCATCATCTCTGACTCCTATGCATAGTCAAAGCCCTTTCATGAACACAAACCCATCAAAATCTTTCTGTCTCTCTCTCTGTCATCCTTATTCCCCCTTTTTGTCTGTTGGTTACATTACAATCTCCCCAAGAGGAGCCACATAATCCAGCAGCTCACCTAGGGTTTTAGCTGTTGCTAAGCGCCTAGCATCTTAGTATTATAGCTAAGCTATATTAGCTGTTCCCATGGTTAATCTCCTGTGCATGTCTTAGCTATTGCTTTTTATGTTACATGTTTTACACTTCAATCAACATCCTAATTAACATAGTCATCAATGGACTTGATCTCTCCCTACTAATTTATTATTATTATTATAAAAAGAGTTATTCAGAAGGTTTTGCTCCTTTGTGCATTTTGTTACTGTCTTACAAAATGGTTGATTGTATATTGGACAGAACCTGAGCAATGAGATTGATAGGATGAAGAAGGAGAATGACAACATGCAGATTGAACTCAGGTGAACATGATTAGCAAAAAACCAAAATATGTCTTTCTCCATATACTATCTAATTAAATGGGATTATTTGTTTGTTTGATGTTGATTAGAAAGTATTATTAATTGTATAAATTAGGCACCTAAGAGGAGAAGACATCACATCACTGAACTACAAGGAGCTGATGGTGCTGGAGCAAGGCCTTGAGAATGGCCTCGCCGGAATCCGTGACAAGGAGATGGAATACTACCGCCAGAAGAAGAAGGAAGTATGTTAATTTGTTCATATATATAAAAAAAAAAATTAAAAATTACATATGTTTAACTTAATTTACTCCTTGTATATATATGGGAAAATTGAACTGATGACTTCTACATCTATTTCTCTCTTTTATTTGTTGGGATCTCACGCAGGAAAAGGAGCTGGAAGAAGACAACAAGCGCCTCAACTTCATCATGGTATATATATTTTGAACTTAACTATACAGACCCATTAAACCAATATTAATTACATTAGAGTATTTCCCCCCCCCCCCCCCTTCATTTGGTTGAAGATTTTGGTAACAAGATAGAAGTCATACCGACAAATCGAGTAGACATGAAATGTTATTTAAAAAAAAAAAACGTAACCACTTATAATGTAGAAAGAAAGCAGATATCGTTAATATTCGTACTAACTCGATCTTATGCGAGAGCAAAAATAATTTACTCCTTCGAAACGAAGAATATTTCACACGAGTTTTGCGATTCGCTGTTGGTTGCTAATAATTGACCTTTCTATGTGTAAGCAGATGCAGCAGCAGGAGGAAATGGGGAAGAGGCAGCAAGAGATGGCAATGGAAGATCACCATCACCAGCAGCAGCAGCAGCATCACCACCATGTCATGGAAACCAATGGCGGCGGCGGTGGATACCATCCTCACCATTCACAGCACAGAGCTGCTGCTGCTGCTGTCAACTACAACAATGGCGGTGGTAACAACAGCAACAATGTGAACTCCCAGATGCCTTTCTCGTTTCGGGTTCAGCCGATCCAGCCCAATCTCCATGAGAGGATCTGAATCTCGTCATTACAGTTAACCCCAAGCTGGCTTTGCTTGCTGCCTGCTGGGGGTGGTATTAATAAGCTGCTAGCGTTGTAATGTTTATGTTACATTTTGGGATCCATGCGTGTTTTTAATTACTTAACTCCTAGCTATGATCAGGGCAAGCTTGATTAACTACTGCGTCATATTTTATATGACCTAAAACTTGTGCTCTAGTTATGTACGTTATCCTTGTTAATTAAATTACTGGTCATGAATTAACCATATGTATTGTTATTCTCTGTTAATTGGATAGTTTGTTTGTGGTGTATTGTGTGTCTAGCTAGCTAATGATCTGAGGGTGATGCGTGGTGACCTACGATTCTTGAATTAAGAAGAAAGAAAGAAAGAAATTGAGCAAAGATTGTGAATTGAGGCAGAAAGATAGATAGATAGGTAGAGAGTGAGTAGGATGTGACCACCGTGTAAGAAACCATGGATCTAGGCGTTTTTTTGTTTAGGGTTAGGCGATCAGAAATTCAGGATCGATGTGGAGTTGGGGATTAGGGATTTTGATTGAGGATAGATATATGAGGAAAAGTGGAGGAAATTGAGGGAAGAAAGGGGAAGAGGGGTCGGCGATCAAGGTGGCCGACGATGATGTTGGGGGGGGAGGGAATTATTAGAAACCGAACAGAAAAATTAGGTTACCGATCTGGCTGAGTCGCGAACTAGGTCGCTCTCTTTAAGACGTTCGCGGCACTGCCTCGTATTGCGCACAACAGACTATCAACCGGTCGCCTCCAGGATAAAACAGTCATTCTAATTTTGATGCTCATCGGTTTTGTGCGAAAAACCGGAGCTCTATGAATTCACTCTCTCTCGTGTTTCTGCTCTTCTTAGGTGTGTTTAGAGGGTCTGGGGCGTCTTCTATTTATAGGAGCAGAAAACCCAGAATATTCCCTCTTTCTTTGGGAATAAGTCACATTTTAATTAGGGAGATAATTACTCCCATAATTAAAATATAATCTATTAAGATAATTATTCCTAATTATTTTCACAATATTTCTTTTATTAATTATCCATCTTAATTTTGTATTATGGGAAAATACTGGATAATTAATTAGAAATTTCATTATAGCTTTTCAAAGCTATTCATCCCAACAATCCCCCACTTGAATAGTTTGAAACTATCTCTGAGCATCAACAGTTCCATAAGATCGGGCATAAACTAAGGTATCGCGAAGATTTGAACCTTAGCGTAGTGGTTACACTTTCGATTTCATAAGGGTGACTCGTAGTCTTGAACCCTATCTCAGACAATGTAGCACACCGGATCTTTTCATTGAGTGATATTCTCTCATAGGCCGTGCGTTTATGGCCATGCACGTTATCCCGGTTTAGTGAACGCTCTAGCAACTTTGTGCCTCCAAAGTTCCATAGGGAGCGGCCCCACTCCCACATTCACATAGGTGAGTCTATCTGGAGTACCCCCAAAGTAAAGTACTCCACCCCACATAGGGTATAGATCTCATTAAGAGTTGTTAACTCAACCTCCATTGCTTTGGGATTCATGCTTCACTATGCATGAATTTTTCGCATACTACTCATGACTTGTTATTACCCATTGAACCCATTTCTTGGGATCTCCAGTCTATTGGGTCGGGTTACCATCACTTGTAGTCCGTGGTTCGGTAGGCATAAGTCTCATACCCTTGGCGGTATTTTGGACTTTCTCTCTAGATAATCCTTTCGTCAAAGGATCAGCTAGATTCTGTTAGGACCTTATAGGATTCACCCTCATTGCTCCTATCGTTAGGAGTTCTCTTACAGTACTGTGCTTACGACGAATTTGTCGTCTCTTTTCGTTCTAGAACCGGTTCCCTTCTTTAGTAATAGCTGCGGTGCTATCACAATGAATCAACTACCGGAGGGATCGGTCTTTACCTAATGACTAATCTACCCTTCCTTCTTCCCCAGTGGCGGCCTCCAACTCTCCGTTCTCGGTTTTTCATATAGAGCAATGAATGATAAATGGACTCTCATGTTTGTTTCTCCTTGTCTCTTTCTTTTTTTTGGGCTTGTTTAACATTAATTTCTCGCATAAATTGTGAATTTCGGGATGAAATTTTGGATTAAGCGTGGTGATCGAGTTTGATTGAAAAATCGAGAAATTTTCAGTTGTGGTTGAATCTCACATCTTCATCTACTGAGTCTTCTATTTACTCCTCTATTGATATTCCTAACACTTTACGCTCATCTTGTGCATTATTGCTGGATCGACAGTTGGATCCAAAAATTAGAGAGTTGTGTCATGTTCAAACTATTATGCATTTCTATATTTGTAATTGAACGAGTTCACAAAGTAGAAGTTCAGTTACTTTGTATGCATTAGATTTGTTTTTAATGGAAATATAATTATAAGGGTAACAAGGTAATTTGTGTTTCATATCCACAAATCTAATCAAATAAAATCCATTATCAAATCCAACAAGCAAACAATAGACTTGTTCAAATCCATGATTCCACCAAATCCATCATATATCCATGGTTTTTCAAAACCCAGATTTTACCAAAACCCTCATATTTCAAATCAATGAAGCAAACAACCCGTAAATGAGCTTTGCTCCTACTCATGTTTCCTATTTCATCATATTTTTTCCTAAAGACCCACTTACTTCCAAAAACTAGCCAAGCTCTATTAGTTATGTAGCATGTAGTATTAACTACTTCTGTCCACAGATTTTGAGGTTGGTTATATTCTTGGAGCAGGAAGAATATAGAGTTCTATTTTTCCTTTCAACAACCTCATTTTGTTAAGATGTTCTGGGGGCTAAGAAGTTATGTTGTAACCTTAGACTGTCATAAAAGGCTTCAAAATTTATGCTCCACAATTAATGGATCGAAGACACCATGCTGGAGGTACCCATTACCAACAACATATGCATGAGCAAGCCATAAGGCCAGGCGAGCAACCAGAGACACAGAAATGAAAAATCAAGGTTGATGACTGTGGGCAATACAATCATTTGGACATAACCACATGAATAATTTTTATTTCAGTGGAAGTTAGACCCCTTAAAATCATAATAATTATAGAGATTCGGAATCAATAATATCCCATATGAGGTCTAAAATCAAAGCATAATCAGTTATCAAGCCAGATTGTTATAAGGCAAGATGTGCGATCACTCTTAAAGAAGGTAGAATAAAGGGCATTGATCCCAAATTAGCTTCCATTGTAGCTTTTCTAAGAACAGAGAGAGATATGAAAACTAATACCAGTTATAGTAATTTATTTTAACCGTCGACATTGAAAAAATGTAAGAACTAAAAAAAGTAACACTAGCATTAATTTATGGAATTTCAAGCTCCAACAAATTAGCTTCCAGACGTGGAGCTAGGACAGAGATTACAGGTCTGAAAAATTGCATACGAGTCATTAATTTCTTGTAACCTGCGAAATATTAACGACGATACACCACAAAAGTTGGATTTATGTCTAAATGACTAACACCGTGCACTGACTAAGTACAATCAGATAAAATTATTCTCCCTAATCTGTAACCATAAATTGATTATTAGGTAGATACTTATAATCTACCTATAATTACTGAGCACAAATATCATAATCAGCAAATTGTAGGGCACAAATTGATCCCAAATTAGCTTCCATTGTAGCTTTTCTAAGAACAGAGAGAGATATGGAAACTAATACCAGTTATAGTAATTTATTTTAACCGTCGACATTGAAAAAATGTAAGAACTAAAAAAAGTAACACTAGCATTAATTTATGGAATTTCAAGCTCCAACAAATTAGCTTCCAGACGTGGAGCTAGGACAGAGATTACAGGTCTGAAAAATTGCATACGAGTCATTAATTTCTTGTAACCTGCGAAATATTAACGACGATACACCACAAAAGTTGGATTTATGTCTAAATGACTAACACCGTGCACTGACTAAGTACAATCAGATAAAATTATTCTCCCTAATCTGTAACCATAAATTGATTATTAGGTAGATACTTATAATCTACCTATAATTACTGAGCACAAATATCATAATCAGCAAATTGTAGGGCACAATACCCCATATCTTCTTTAACACGTCCACCGCTGAACCACAAGCAATTTTTGTCTAAGTAGATGATACCACCTACAAGACATTTAAGGCAATTCATGGTGTGTGGTTCACCGCATTGAGCTCGGGCCCACATTGTGTATCCGTCCTCAGTCCGTTTCGTACATGTAACATGATGTCTTCGAAATCCAGGATGGAATTTATCTTGAACAACGTACTCAAGGATGTGTTCTCTCAGCTTGCCTAACGGAGTATTTTTACCAATCGCGAGGGGGCTGCAGAAGTGATCCGCATAATTCAACATATAGCTCTCCGCCCTCCCTGCAATGCACATACAAGCCATGAAAACAATTGTCGTAAATTGAAGCAGATTCCTCATTTCCAAGGTGTGAAGTTGATGTAGTGGATAATAAGGTATTCCTTCGTATGTGTGTGGAAACTATAACAAATATAAATTTAGATGATTGGAATGTTCATTAGATTTTGCTCTTATATAGGAGGATTATAACAAACTTGTCGAATGTCACGGATGATTTAGTCTAAAGTATTTAGTAAGTTTGTTACTATGCCATTATAATATCCTTTATATGCACTATCTATAATAGGCTAAAACTAAATTATGTATAATCACAATTAGTTTTACCTAACTATTTGTAACCGTGACAACTCAGTCTCTAGTCTATACCACACAAACACCAATTTTATCACAAATTTATTTACTAAAAATAGAGTTCAGCTTATGTGAATCCAACTACGGATTATAGTGAAAGTTAATTTCTTAGTTCTCCAAAATGAATCAAATGTATAATGTGATTTTGTAATCATTTAGTCGTCGGTAATTGCAAGGATAGTTGGACCTAAAAAAGTTGAGGTATCTCCAAATTATATATTAATTGTTTCCAAATTGTTTCTTACCTTTCATAGGCTTAATATATCTGTCTCTTAAATGCATTGAACCAAATATTTATCTCGATTATTTTAACATTTACTTTTTGGTAATTGCTTGCGTGGATTGATCTAAGGGTGTGCAACAATACGGTCTGGACTAGACCAAACTCATGAGAACCACAACATAGTAGTGAAAGACATCTCAGGACCAAGTATCGAACCAACAATGCATTTCACTTAGGATCATATCACTTGAAGACGTCCGCGTCTTATCTTGAGTTTCGAGTAAGACATTGTGCTCTTACTTTGGAATAAGCCTTATACACTCAACCACTTGCCTTTGGCATCCCTCATTCGAGTAAGGAGCATGATAACACTTGGGTACTTTCTTCGCTCACGCACCCTCAAAAGAGAACATAGTCACTTTTGCCCACTAATGCTCACTTCCCATTGATATTGTACGCATGACATCTACTAGGACCTCTATAGTGCGGTTAGGGGATGTACACTTTACAAGTTAATAAAATTTTAACCATAAATATAGCACATTGATGCGTTAAATTTAATATGGCAACAACACTGGCGAATGTGTGCTTTCTCTGATGGTTGGGTGATCCTTGAGAATTGAACTTATCACAAAACCATGAACGGTTATATAATAGGACACACTAAGAGTGTCATTTTATGACATAATTTTTGAAAATGAGTCATAACTTAAATGTTATTATGACTATGTCTTTGTTTGTTGTTTTTTCCCCTATTGTAACGAACCCACTATTTTGTTTGGTTTGAAGTTAAAACATATGCGTTGTGATTGCATGTACTAGCATAATGTTGTTCATAGTATAAAAAATAAATATTATTTTGAAACATTTTTAAATTGTAAAACCATATAAAAACTAAAATAACAATTCATCTTATTTGAAATTAATTTTCTAAAATATAACAAGAGAGAAATTAGCTAGAGAGAAAAAAGAGACACCCTCAATTAAAAAATATGCCCAAAACAACAAACTAGTGAAGCCACTGAACAAGAAAAAGGGAAGCTAACTCTAGAGAAGACTACAATAGGGTGTCACGAGCCACTTTATATGTAGTCCAATTTGCAACTTTTTGAAATGCCCTAAAAGCTATATTACCAAAAAAAGAAGAGAAAACAAAACCCCATGAGAAGGGGCTCTCCTAACAAATCAACTACCACTCCTTAGCGAAGCTCAAGGATCACCATCTGAGAGAATAAAATAGATAGCTGCTCTACAAGTAACGGATGGTAGAGGGACCCACTACCAAAACATATACCTCAAGGCTATAAGGCCAGGAGAGCAACAAAAGTCACAAACAAGAAAATCAAACTTGACAAGTGTGGGCAATACAAACCTTGAGACATAACAACATGAATATTTTCAATTTCACTATAAGTTGTGTAGAACACGTGTAGCACACAAGTAATCTTATAAAATAATATAAATATACATAATTATTAAAGAACCGGTCGTTTGGACTCCAGTGTAGGGCTTGACTCGTTACTAGAGCCTTAGTGTATCTTATTTGGACGTATTTATACATATTTACCCCTTCATATCTTGATTGTTTTCCTTGTTAATCGTTGCTCCCGACCTATTTTATCATAGGTTGTGATTCTTTTGTTACATTTGACGACCTAGTATGAGTGGAAAGGTAGGGGATGAGTTTCGAGATATTTGGAGGTCAAAACGAGCCAAAGAGTGAAGGAAATGCAAAGATCACGACCTGGAGGTGAAGATCACGGGCTCGGACCATGAAGTGGGCAAGAAGGGCGTGATCTCCGCAAGGTTCCAGTAGCTTTCTCTCAATCAGATTCTATGATGGTAGATCTTGATTATCGATCGTATTCCTCCTTCTTGTCTTTCGGAGTAATCATCTGGATAGTATAATCATCTTTGTTGATTCTCATTGTAAGTTTATGTTTAAGAACATCGATTAATGAGTAAGAAGGGTCTTCCAAAGAGGATAAAGTAGTCTCTATCCCTATGCATGTCGAGTACTACTAAAGTACTTCAAATCCCTCGCCTTAACTAATGGTTGACAAACCGAATTGTCGGCCAAGGAAATGAACCTGTTTGTGCTCTCTAGTTTGTATATGTCAAGTGACCTAAAGATGTTAAAGGGCATAATGTTAAGATTAGACCCTAGATCGATAAGTGCTCTCACTTCGTGATGATCATTGAGAGTACATGGGATTACAAATTGACCCGATTCGGGTAGCATTCGTAGTACTAAGAGTTGCATGTGGGAAGGTATGTCTTCCTTCGTAAGCTTGTGAGTTTGCTCATGAAGTCGCCCTACTTCCCTTTGGGGATCATATATCTCTGTAAGGGCTTCTAGCGTTAGTATGGCAGGTGTTTCCCCTCCTACAACAAAAATGAACTCATTAAGTACCTTCTGGTCAGTTTTAGAAACGTCATTAGGAGGGTTGGAAATGGTGCCTCATTCCCTGTGATTGAAAGAATTTTGCTTGTGAGGACATCAATCCATCTATGATAAAGACTGGTCCTCGCGCTAACTGCCATTGGAGTTTGACCTCCTAGCAGAAATGCTCATACACACGTTTACAATTGGGAGGGGTCATTCCCAAGTAGAGAAATACTCCTCACCTTTATGAGTGATAAAATTTCTTCCTTCTTTCTTCTTTGTGAAGAAGGTGCCTAAGAGGGGTTTCATAGGGCTATCTATTCATTTTCATGATGAGGTTGTGTGAGATACTCCTTGTAGGAGTTATGCTGGTTTGTGCTTGCCTCATCCACATGCAAGATGGTTGCCACGTTAGCGGTTTCATTCTTTGCTTGCTTTTGTCCCCAAAATAGGACTTGGAAACTTGTAACAAGCAAAGAGAAGAACTTATGCACGGGTGTCAACCAACTTGAGTTACCCTTGGCAGACCTTATTGATCAAGACAACCTCATATTATGCCCATGCAACCTTGAGGACTCCAGAACATACAAGGACCTGGCTTCTGGTGTCTTTTTTGGGTGCCTAAAAATAGGCGCAGGTGGTGCCAATTTTAGCCCAAAAGGAGTGTCTATGGCGTCGTTTCTGGTATGCAAGAAATGCCCACCTTTTCTTACAGCTTTGTATCCTCTAAGTTTCTACCCTTTTCCACTATTGGGACGTGGCTTGAACCAGATGGTTAGACCTCAAGTGCCTCAACCTGTTCTTTAGGATTGTTTTCTGTGTTGCTTGGAAGGGTTATGTCTATCTATTGGGTCTTTTCAAGCTCCAGAAGGGAAGCTAATTCGCACTCCATGTTTTTAAGAGTCACCTCATCGCCTCGAATGTATGTACATAGCTCATCAACTATTAATTGTTCCAAGACTTCAAGAGGTGTGTTGTTCTCTCTGAATTGAGGGTGTCTATTGAATCCTGGTGGTGTAGGATTTAATTTCCTTTTCCAATCTGGATTGGGTGGAGCTCGACCCTCCCACTCCGTGTTGTGAAGATACGATGCATTGATGGATGTTATATTTGGGTAGTCGGTAGACTTTTATCCTCCTGGGAGGGGCCATTATCCTGCCAGAAGCTGTCTCCAAGTTTGATAATCGCTTGAGGGGTGATTTTCGAAGCTCCTATAGGCATTTGACGAATTGGGAGGTAGTTAGTTCTGATACCTAAAGTTGGGGCGATTAAAGTCCCATGTTTGAGGATAAAAGGTATTTCTGAAATCGACCAACTCGTTTAAAGGACTCCTATAGTCCCGCAATTGTACCCATCATGACCATCCTCACCACATTACTCGCAAAGGAAGAGTTGCGCGACAATGGTGTTTCGACTCATATTGAGGGCCTTGCCGAAGATTTCGGCTATTTGTTCTTCTGCGAACCCATGATGTGCGCAAGCACAAAGTAGACCTTGATAATGCTTACATGCTTCGTACAACTACTCTTGATGTCATTGTTTGAATCGAGCAATTTGGTCCCTAAGATTGTCAGTTTCCAATGGAGGGAAAACATTTCAATTAAAGCTTGGAACAACGCATAGAAAGTTCCTTGTGGTTGGCAAGATATCCAGCTCTTTGGTCTCCTCGTAAGAGAGAAAGGGAAGAGACATAGCCATATTTTGTCAGCCTACACTCCTAGATTATGTGAAGAATCACATATTTCCATAAACATTTTGATACATTTGACCAGATTCTCGTTATCGAGGACCTCAAAATGTCCAACATACCGGACCATGTGGATCATTGAAGTGCGCAGCTCGAAATTAGACACGTTAACCTGAGGAAAGATGATGTTGGAACCGAAGTTCACAGCTTGAGGCCACGTATACTCGTAGAGAGTTCATTCTGCCATGCCTCTAGGTGATGGGGGTTCAGAGGGAGAGGTGTTACTCTCTACGCTTGAAACTTCGTCTAAGAGGGGATTTGAATGAAGAGCAGTAAGCAACCTATTCTTCCCCTTTCTTTTCTTCGAGGTGGTGTCTTTGGATATAATGAATCAGAAGTACCACTCCTATACTCACGACCTTGGGCAAATCTTTTATGTCTAAGATTCTTGACTTTGACCCTGATTTGTGAAAGGATCATGCACTTGACAGAGATAGACTTCTGGAAGCAGAAAGACCTTCCAGAAATTAGGCGCCCAAGTATCAAACATGAGAAGGAAATTGCCGCTTCTGGTGCCTATTTACCTTGAGGTTACAATAGTGGGAAACGTGAGATAGAATGCACCTCTTTCCCTTTTCCGAAGTTTGTGAGATGTCCTCAACAATGGCAACTAAATTTGATATTTCATGTAGTGTAAAGCAAATGTACTTGGCCCTAACGCTAGGATCGTATTCCCTCAAGCCTCTTGTAGAATCCTTAATTTGGAAGTGATGTACTGTTCTATTGAAGAAGAGGTCGGTTTATGAGGTTGACATTCCTCCGGTTTTGTAGAACTTAGGAGTTCGAAACGTAAAGCAGGTGCAGAAAAATAAATTTAAGCCACTGGGAAGTAAGAGAGTAGGAAAGTCATAATTAATTATTGTATGAACCCTTCAGACATAACTGCATGAATAATTTTTATTTCAGTGGAAGTTGGACCCCTAAAATCATAATAATTCTAGATATTTTGAATCAATAATAGCCCATAGGGGTCTAAAATCAAGGCATAATCAATTATCAAGCCAGATCGTTATAAGGCGAGATGTGTGATCACTCTTAAAGAAGGGAGAATAAATGGCATTGATCCCAAATTAGCTTCCAGAGTAGCTTTTCTAGGAACAGAGAGAGGTATGAAAACTAGCTAATACTAGTTATAGCAATTATTTTAACTGTCGGCATTGTAAAAAATGGAAGAACTAAAAAAAGTAATACTAGCATTAATTTATTTTAACATTTAATGGAATTTCAAGCTCCAACTAATTAACTTCCATACGTGGAGCTAGGACGGAGATTACAGGTCTGAAAAATTTCATACGAGTCATATTAATTTCTTGTAACTTGCGAAATATTAACGACGATACACCACAAAAGTTGGATTTATGTCTAAATGACTAACACCGTGCACTAACTAAGTACAATCGGATAAAATTATGTCTAAATTATTCTCCCTAACCATAAATTGATTATTGGGTAGATACTTATAATCTACCTATAATTACTGAGCACAAATATCATAATCAGCAAATTGTAGGGCACAATACCCCCTATCTTCTTTAACACGTCCACCGCTGAACCACAAGCAATTTTTGTCTAAGTAGATGATACCACCTACAAGACATTTAAGGCAATTCATGGTGTGTGGTTCACCGCATTGAGCTCGGGCCCACATTGTGTATCCGTCCTCAGTCCGTTTCGTACATGTAACATGATGTCTTCGAAATCCAGGATGAAATTTATCTTGAACCACGTGCTCAAGGATGTGTTTTCTCAGCCTGCCTAACGGCCTATCTTTTCCAATCGCGAGGGGGCTGCAGTAGTGATCCGCATAATTCAACATATAGCTCTCCGCCCTCCCTGTAATGCACATACAAACCATGAAAACAATTGTCGTAAATTGAAGCAGATTCCTCATTTCCAAGGTGTGAAGTTGATGTAGTGGATAATAAGGTATTCCTTCTTATGTGTGTGGAAACTATAACAAATATAAGTTTAGATGATTGGAATGTTCATTAGATTTTGCTCTTATATAGGAGATTATGACAAGTTAGATTTTGCTCTTATATAGGATATTATAACAAACTTGTCGAATTTCACGGATGATTTAGTCCAGAGTATTCAGTAGGTTTGTTACCATGCCATTAAAACACCCTTTATATGCACTGTCTATAATAGGCTAAAACTAAATTATATATACTCGCAATTTGTTTAACCTAACTATTTGTAACTGTGACAACTCACTCTCTAGTCTATACCACACATAAACCAATTTTATCACAAATTTATTTACTAAAAATAGAGTTCAAATTATGTGCCTGAAACTTCGAATTATAATTTCATAGTTCTGCAAAAGGAATCAAATGTATAATTTGATTATTTAATCTTTTAGTTGTTGATAATTGCTAGGATAGCTGGACCTCGATAAGTTGAGTTATCTACAAATTATATATTAATTGTTTCCAAACGGTTTCTTATAATAGGCTTAATTTATCTGTCTCCTCAATGCATTGAACCAAATCTTCACCATGATTATTTAAACATTTACTTTTTGGTAATTGCTTGCGTAGTTGGACCTAAGGGTGTGCAACAGTACGGTCTGAACTAGACCAAACTTACGAGAAGCACAATACAGTAGTGAAAGACATCTTAGAACCAAGGAACGAACCAACACTGCATCTCACTTAGGATTACATCACATGAAGACTTCCACATCTTATCTTGAGTTTCGAGTAATGCATTGTGCTCTTACTTTGGAATAGGCCTTATACACTCAACTCCTTGCTTTTGACATCCCTCATTTGAGTAAGGAGCATGATAATAGTTGGGCACTTTCTTCACTCTTGCACCCTCAAAAGAGAACATAGTCGTTTTGCTCACTAATGCTCACTTTCCATTGATATTGTACGCATGACATCTACTAGGACCTCTATAGTGCGGTTCGGGGATGTACACTTTACAAGTTAAAAAAAATTAACCATAAATATAGCACATTGATGCATTATATTTAATATGGCACCAACACTGGCGAAGGTGTGCTTTCTCTTATGGCTGGGTGATCCTTGAGAATTGAACTTATCAAAGAACCCTGAACGGTTATGATTTTTTTTATAACCATCTGGAATTTTATTAAGTAGTCATATGACAATTTGACATATCAATCCTCAATTGAGGTTCAAGAAAAATAGGAGGCCTTTGGTCCCAAACTTCTTCTTCTTCCCACCCACAACAAAGTGGGTTGTCTGGTTGGCTGCCTTGTTTCTTTCTCTTCCAACATATGCTCATTCGTCTCTTCCATTTCTGCTTGCCATCTCTAGGAGCTCTATGCAACGATCTCCCACCTACGTCCTCTCCATTTCCTTTCGCTTCAGTAGAGAAATGGTGAACAAACAGTCCGATTCCAGCACATAGTCCCTTATTCCCCATCTTTCCATCAGCTCCAACCCAAATTCAATCGCAAGAGTCTCTGCCATCGCCGGTTCCCATTGGGTTCTCGTTCTTTTTACCGTCGCACCACAAAATCCACCTTGCATGTCCCTAATTACCACTCCCCAGCCAGTTCCCTGATCCTTCAGCACAGCTACATCAACATTGATCTTTTATGGCACCGTCGCTGGAGGTTCCCACCACATCGGCTGCACCTGGGTTTCCATCTCGGTCTTCTCGTTGTGCTCCAGGTATTCTTCCAACCATATGGATTCTTCTCCCATGATTTCAAATTCTTCTTTCTTCTTCTTATTCCACTGTTGGTTGTTTCGCTCTTCCCAGATAAACTACAAGGCTACCAGAAATTCGCCAATCCTCTCATCGGGTTCAGATTCCTGAAGCTGACACATCCACGATGCACAGGTAAGCTCTTCACCCTTTGAGAACAGCGAACTTAGAATGCTAGGTTTCCAAACCATTCTCACCCAAGCACAGTCCCTGAATATATGCTCTTGCGTCTCAATGAGTCCACAGAACAAACATTCATCACAACCTTGTTGAGTTCGATCTAGGATATTTTTTCTGGTTGGGAGAAAATTATTCACCCATCTCCATCTGAAAACCTTCACCTTGGGAGGAATAAGAATTTCTAGAATCTTTTACAGTTTACAGGGATATAGACCTCTTCCTCTTGCTCGTTTTGTTTTTCCCTCCATTCTTCATAGGTTGATTTCACTGTATAACTTCCATTCCTCTCCAGCCTCCACACTCTTTCGTCCTGAGCTGGTTGTCTAGGAATAAGCGTTTTGAGAATTTATTGTCTGTTTGTAGAATTGAAGTAGTGTTGTAGAACATCCAGACGCGAGAACAATGAGATGAGTGCAGTGACCTGCAGTCATAAATAGTAGCAACGATTATACAAAAGGAATAATGGATGATGATTGAGGGTGGTGACTAGTGAGGGTTTATCCTTTCATATTTTGTTACATAAAGTTTCTAATAATAATTGAAAGGGGCTCCATATATATATATGGCAGGTGGCGAAGGAATAGTGAAAACAAATTGAATTTTTGGCCCCTCTTAATTCATTCTACGGGCCTTTGATATTGTAGTTAATAAATATCTTATGGGCTGGGTGTAGGGAAGCCCAAACCGTAGCACAACATGACATAGATGGAATAGTATATATAAAAATTTATGGGCTTATCAGATGTGCCCCTAAAATATTTGAGGCCCTGTGCTGTGGATCTGACCAGCACAGGGCCTTGGCCGGGCCTGCGATGAACGCCCCAAGATTTTTCGTTGTTCTGTTCGCCATGGACATAATTCAATTTGTACCTCCTTTATTCTCTCGCTATTTTATTCCGCCGGTTCTTCAATTCTCTACTCAAGCGTTCGGAAGGGGGCCAAAGTTGGTTGTTTCGAGATGAAGGAGGAAGTGAGCAGTGCCAGCGCAAAAGATAAGGAGGAGGATCATCTTCTTCGGGGACCTACTTGAAGTTCGGGGACCGGCATACTATCACGGTGGAACTCGAGCCTGGGAATACAACGATCTTTTCGGGGGAGAAGCTGTTGGAAGATGCCTGTGGATCCGCGACTCCCGAGTCGCCTTATCCAGCCAACGCCGACCTCGACCTCGAGTTTCTTATGGCTCTCTGGTGAGTGCCCCGTCATTTTTTTCATTGAATCAGTTTCTTCTCATTAAGATCAAGGCTCGAGCTCCATCGTGACAAACTGTCGGTCCCCGAACTTCAAGTAGGTCGCCGAAGGAGACGATCCTCCTCCTCTTCCGCCACTGGCGCTGGTGCTCGCTTCCTTCTTCATCTCGAAACAGTCGTCTTTGTTCCCTTCCGAACGCTTAAGTAGAGAATTGAAAAATCGGCGGAAGAAAAGAGCGAGAGAGTATGAGAGGCACGAATTGATTTATGTCAATGGAAAACGGAACACTGAAAACTCACTCACTAGAGCAATAAGAAATTCGAGGTCTGTGTTGGTTGGAAGAGACGATTCGGAAACCGGTGCGAATCCACTCACATTTTCCAATAGCTTCCCCCCAAAAGATTGTTGTATTCTCAGGCTCGAGCTCCATCGTGACAATGTGTCGCTCTCTGAATTTGAGGTAGGTCGCCGAAGGAGACGATCCTCCTCCTCTTTCGTCGCTGGTGCTCGCTTCCTCCTCCATCTCTTAACAGTCAAATTCGTCCCCTTCCGAACGCTTAAGCAGGGAATTGAAGAACCGGTGGAAGAAAAGAGCGAGAAAGTAAGAGAGGTACGAATTGAATTATGTGAACCGAAAACTCTCATGGTGCACTCATCGGAGCAATTGGAAACTCGAGGTCGGCGTTGGATAGAGGTGGCGATTCGGGAACGGATCTGACGCAACTCGTGCTCTTGATTGCATCTTCCATCGGCTTTCTCCCGGAGACAATTGATGTCTCCTCCGCCTCGAGCTCCACCCTGGAAGGAGACGATTCTCCTCCTCCGCCGCCGCTGGTCGCTTCCTCCACCAGGCTTGGGCGCACAAGAGCTAGAGAGAGTGAGAGTCTGAAGGAATTAGGAAGAAAAATACAATGTGAGCGGGTAGAAGAAGAAACAGCTGAAGTGCTGGGCGGGGGCGGGACTCGGGAACTGTTCGTTTCTGTTTTGATTTTCTCACATTTTTCTTGACGATAAACTTTCTTGAATCTTTTCTTGAGCGAGTGAAAATGGAGAAGGGCGGTTACGAATCTTGATCAGTGGATCTTCCCCCCCCCCCCCCCCCCAATCTTTTGACCTAACCATATACAGTCCCACCTACTGTGGGGTAGTGGCCTGCGTATTGGGCTCATTGGAAAGGAAATTGTTGAAGCCACCATATAAAAACGGGGATCCGAGGCCTAAGCCCAAGCAATTGCCTACAAAAATAATAGCATCCGGTCCCCGTGGGCCGGCAGTGATCCATTCCAGTCAGATTTTCAGAAACTCGGGAGCTAAACTTAGATAAAGGAAATGCAACGCAAAAATAACGACAATTACGGATACCCGCCCCAATTCGATCCGATTGGGTAGAATAAAATTTAAACTAAATAAAATACTCAGATAATACGGTTAGAAGTGGAACTCGAATAATACATGCATATATAATGTTTTGTATAAATCGTCATTTTTTATATTAATATATACAATATTTATAGTTATTTGTAGCATATCAAGAACTAGTGTTCCTTTAGTATTATTCCTCTTAGCATGGTGATTTGTTATTTATAATTTTCCACTTTTGTAATATTAGTATACCTGTAATTAATAGCACAATAATTAAGCACATAAAGAAAAATGAATACCTGAAAGTCGATCGAATATGTAAATATTTTAATTTATTACTCGAATCTTGCATGAATATGTGTGGATAAAACTTAAACTAATTAAGGTAGAGCAGGGTAATAAATACTCACTATCCACCAAATTCCACTCGTTGTAATCCCTACCCTGGAGTTTTGTAGTGCTTGGGAAAAGATTAAGTGTATAATAACATCAAAACATATCACATAACAACACAACACAACACAATCTCTCACGATGCAACCTCTATTGCAAGTGGATGAGGAGTATTATGGTAATTACATGCTCCAGTTTCTTATTGGCTTCAAGTACAATTTTAAAGGTGTCAACTCTATTTTTGGCCACTCTAAGAGTTGGATAAAATACTTTCTCAATCTCATTTTTTTCATAACTGAATCAAATTTCTTTCTTTTGACTTTCATTTCAAAATTTACATTGAAAAAGCTTTTTACATAAGAATATTTATTTTGAAGAAAAATTCGAACCTTCACAATTTGTATTTACTGTGGGAGAAGGCCTCAAACTTTCTTCTAGAAGGAGGCCAACTTTTGTTTTTTTTACAATGGAATCACATTGCTCATCAAATGAATTCGGTTACATTGAGTGTAGGGATGGCAATGGCTGGGCTCGGGTCGAGGGCGAATAGTGCATATCCGTTACCCTACTCGAAATAGTTCGGGTTTTACCCATACCCATACCCACATAAGAAATTGGTAAAAAATAAAAAACGTGTCCATACCCGTTCGGGTTTCGGGTATCCACGGTTATCAATGGGTAATAGTTTATTTTTAAAACTCCAACCAATATGTTAACATCCACACATATACTCACATTACTTAAGAAGAAACGTACAACAATAAATTATTATAATGAATAAAATTAATTAAAACAACATAATTTCATGAAAATATTATATTTGTATGCTAAATATAAAATATGTTAGAGAAAAATAATGATTATTTCTAGGTAAAATATGTATGCATGTGTACAATCGGGCGGGTTTGGGTTGGATAGTGAGAAAACCATGCCCACCCATTTCCCACAATATTCAGGTTCGGGTTTTACCCGTACACACTAAAACTCTTTCAGGTTCGGGTTTTACCCTACTCGATTAGGCCGGATTCGAGCAAATATCCACGGTTACTGATATTTTGCCATCTCTAATTGAGTGGATACCAACTTAAGAAATGGAAACAAGAAAGAACAACAACAAACATCCAGCGGAACACACCAAGACAACGAGGAAAAGATCGGGACAAAGGAAAGCAAAGCATGATCCAACCAGACAATGGCTTTCTTTTCTTGAGCCATAAAACAGAGCATCCTAACCACTCTTTGCTTCCTCATTCATCAGAATTTCTCAAAGAACAACTTCAACTCGTCCAATACAGGCTTGACCATGGCAACTGAACATTGCAACACCATATGCCGCCTCTTGAGAGTTGTTCGAAGACGACCCATCACAGTGAACCACCAAAGAGATTACATGGCGGTGGACAGGACTGTACCATATTGCTCGGAGCTTAAACAAGGCAAGGGAGCCGACAATAGAGGTAACCATGACAAAACAGAGTAAGATTACACCAAGGGTTGGGAAGAGCCCACAAAAAACAAAAGAAAAGAAAACCACCAGTAAGAACCGCACCTGCAAAAACACAAAGCTAAAAGAGACCACCCCAAAACCCAAAAAACAACAAAAAGACGCAACACCCACACCGTCACCAACCACCCACAAAAACAAAAATAAATCAACCCAAGGTAGAACCCCAAACTCAGAGAGTCATGAACCCGCCGCCTCAACATTCGGAAGAGACAAAGCTACCCACATCAGATGATCGGCAAGGCTGCAAAAAGTATGAAACGACGACGACGTCTGAGGGGAAACGATGAATGCGGTCACCAGTGGGATAATCACACCAAAAATGAAGGAATCTTTACAACAGATCAAGCATAAACTCCCCATAATGCATCTTCCGTACCTAGAATAGAGTGACAAGATCTAGTGAAACCAGATCAGAACAAGACAGAACATCTCCACCTGGGAGGAATGTGGAAGGAAACCACTTAGGAATCCTAGATAAAGTCACCAAGGGCAAAGAAAAGCCATCAAGGCAGGAAAATCAGATCAGATCTGCAGAAGCCACCAAGGGCTTGAGAATCAGAAACAGAACTGGAGGAGCCAACGATGGTTGGAGAACAAAGACGCACAAAGAAAAACCGGAGAGAAAGAGAAAAGACTATTAAAATGGTAATTAAGGCCACCACCGATCACCAAAGTGGTGCCAACGGCAGCCTTGTGGACCATAATGTAGAAGGCTAGAGAGAAGCGAGAGGATTTTGAAATAGGAGAGAGCTTTTGTATTTAAGTGTCTCCGTTTCCTTTTCAATTAACCTTCACCATTTGGATGGGTCTATTGAAAAATGAGATAGTTTAGCCAATCATCTCATTTTACAAAACGAGTCATTTAAAATGAGTCCATTCGAATTGTTATCATCTACCCCAGACAATTGTAATTGCCTCAAATGAGTCAATTTGAAATTCCCTAGGCAGAATTGCTTCATCTAAATTTTGTCCTACCAAACGGATCAATTTGGACAGATTGTCTCAAAACAAAACAATTGGGTCAAATTGATCTGTTAGAATTTCTCATCCCAATGATCCTTTAGCTAAATTGAGGTAGGTGATTATGAGGTTAATCGGCCTCCCCATTAACACTAGAAGTTTGATGTTGGTATTTGGAATATACCGAAGTTAGTTGTGCATTTGTGAATAACCATAAATTATACACCCTATCCTAGACCCTAACCTGATAAGTACAAACCAAGCGGTTTATCTTCCTTCACTTTATTTTTTTCCCTTAAGTTTCTTTCAATGTCATTTATGCATACTAATTGGATATACAAGCAGTGGAGGAGGGAGGTGAAGAGGAGTAAGACCCCACTTGGAAGGAAAAATCAGATGGATTGAATATGTGTAGATACTTGTTGAATATTGGTATGTTAAGGACTTAAAACCCCTTTCTTATAAAATTTAATTATCTTCAACATTACATACAAGCATATAGATAGCGCTATCGATAAGGTACAATGAAAAATCATCAATTTTTTTACCCTTAAGTTAATTATTTTTTCATTCCACTAGATACACATGAAAAATCTTTCGGTTATAATGAACAAGAGTTTGGTCTAGTAATAATTCACTATCCTTAAACCTGGAGATCCCATGTTTGAATTTCTTAAGTAATACCTCTAATCACAAACCGACTACCGAGGCAAAGCAAGTCTTTTCATCTATAGTTCGACGTTAATCTGACTACTGCATTTGGATATTCCAATCTTTGTATTTCAACATATTTTTGCATGATAAAAAAAATATGACCCCACTAAAATTTAATATACACATTAACACACGGTATATAAATAATAATAACTAACAATATAATTACTAACGTCGATAACAATGAGTCAATGATGAAGGAAAATACAAGAAAATCACATATAACTCGCTCAGAAATGGGCAGGTAATTCGTTGAATTAGGTTAAGGGGATATTTTTATTTTCGTAATCCTCTCTGATAAAGGTATTCCTTTTTATCGTACTACTTTTCTCCATTCCTCTTCCTTTTTTCTATTTTTTTTGGTTTACAACGTTTAGGTTTTCTGTGTCATGTCGTTTGCTTGATCAATAATAATTTGTACGGATTACGGTTATTGCTTTGCTTTCGGGTGGTTCTCGGAAGTCGGAATCTGCATTCTTCCTTCCTTGTTAGCAATTCTAAAATGGAAGAAGGGCTTTTGTTGGTCGTTGCTTGGAGATAGCGAGGTGAGTGTGTGTGTGAGAGAGAGAGAGACGGAGATAGAGAGAGTGGAGGACTCTTCTCCTTAGGTTCTCCCCTCTTGAAGCCGCCGGTCACAGTTTTCTCGCCGCCGATGTTGTGACGGTTGTGCGCAAGGGAAATGGTTCTGGATGTTAGGGTTTGAATCGATTCAATTACGGCTTGCATTGCGCGCTTGGTTTGGGTTTAGGATTTGAGCTTTTCTGGGACCAATTGCTTTTGGTTTTATCAACTTCTTTGTTCGTTGTTTTCCTTAATGGTTGAGGTATGTTTGAGGAAGGCCTGATGGGTTCGTGTGAGGATGCTGTTGCGGTCAATGAACCAGTCCATCAACCTGCTTTCGAGCAGCAGCAGCAGCAGCAGCACTCTTCCTGCATGGAGTTCGTCGAGAATTTGGTTGCTGATGACCGCCTACCTTGTTTGGAAAACGGCGACACCTCCGCCGCGGCTCCTGATTTGAATCCCACCGCTGTGCTGGATTGCTCTCTGGGACCGGCTCAAAATGATAATGCTGCTACTAGCGTAACCCCTGCCCACGCTTTAGCTACTACATCTGTTGAAGATGGAGTTGCGGTAATAGAGGCCGGGAATGATAGTGCGGTCGGTTTGAACGCGGGAAATTTGATATGTCAGGTTAGTGAGCCTTCTTTGAGTATGATTCATGGGGGTTATGTGGAGTATAATTATAATGGGGATACTGATGGATTATGTTGTGGGAAGGTGGAGAATGATGGATGGCTTAATGATGAGCACAAAGGAATGAGGGATGAAAACGGTGGTAGTGTTGAGATGGGTGTGGAGGAGGAAATAGATTCTTTCTTTGCAACTGAGTTTGATAATCAGCAAGACCTGCTTCCTCCACTGGGTCCTGAAATGCATGCCGAAGTGAATTGTTTATCTAGAGAATGGAGTTATGTAGAGAACAAACAGATTCCTTCTACTAATGAGGTTTTGTGTGTTACCGACGAGGAACATGTTGATTTAGTAGGTGGGGGCAGTGATACGGAAAGGCAAAATTTGAGTTCACTACCATTTGAAACTGCAGGGTGCATACCTCCTACTTGTATTCAACAGGATATCCAGAATGATTATCTGTCTGTTACTTCTTCCTCCTTCAAAGCATTGGCAGAGGTTGTCGACAAGACAGATGATGCCTTACACAGGCTGGAGACTACTACTAGTGGCCAGTTGTCTTCGCAGCGTTGTGTGGAGTTGTCTAAGTTTATCTTAACAATTGATTCAGTGCAAAAAGTTGCTCACAAGAATGATAATGAGCCTGCTGCTTCTTCCGTTGTAGAAGGTGCTGAAGAAATCAAGGAACACGAACATGAACCTTTGGGAGCTGCTGGAAGTGTTTTAGAGGGCCAATTGTCTTCTTCAGTTGAGGGCAGAATATGCACAGCAGAAGTTCCATCGTCAACTGAGTGTCCTCAACAAAATGAGCCGGACAACTGGACTATCAGTGGTTTAACATCAGAAAAGATTGGGGATGGAGAAAGTGATGCTACTGCAGACACAGAAGTCGATATAGGCACCTGGATATCACCACATGGTGATGAGTCTCTCCCAAGAACACTAAGCAATAGTGGTCCTATGATTGGTTCTGAGAAGAATATTAATCAGGAATATGACAAAGCTGATACTTCTCTTGTAAATATTGACAGAAAGGGTGAAAAAGTATGTCGATTTCTCCAAGTATTGCCTTCACTAGCTTGCAAAAAGACCTTGGAGTACTTACCTACAGCTGCTTCACTCAGCAATTGTACTCAACAGAATGGGAAAATGAATGGAAGAAATGTAGACAGTCCTTTTGCAGAAAGCACTTCAGAAATTTTGGAGGAGAGAATTGATACTTCAACTGCTAAGGCTGAATTTGTTCATCAGACAATGTGTGTGGAAGGAAATAACTGCTATCTTCCGGATGGAATCCCTGAAATTGCCACCACTGTATCTATTGAGAAATTTGCTTGTCCTGAGTCTTGCCAGCCCTGTGACATTGCAGAGAGTGGATTTTCTAATCGAGTGGAGGGTCCACATCCTTATGCGACGGACAATATCTGTTCCATGGAATCTGGCAGCACAGATGCATGTAATGAACAGACAGAAAATGAGGGTAAAAACCAGCGCAGAACTGATTATATTTTAAAAAACAAATGCTTGCGCACTCAGTCTGATCCTCCACGAAACAACCGAGCTTGCAGATCAAGTCGAAAGACTCGGTCCACAAAGACTAAGAACAAGGGAAGGAGTATAGCTCAAGTAATGGACTTCAAGAAAAGGAAAAGAAGCTGCCTACCCAAACGGACTCGAGCTTGTGAATGGGGATCACTGGGGAAAGTCATGGAGTATTTCAAGGTGATTGATGAGCTTGGAGATGGTGAAATTGGGAATTTGAAATCACTAAAAGAAAGGGCGGGTCAAGCAAGTCGAAAGCAAAACAAGAATAGAGCTCATGGAAGCTTGCGCGAATCCGGTGTACGAAGCTATACTTTGACTACTCGCATTCGTTTGAAAGTTAAAGTGGGCAAAGAGGTTAGTCAAGCAACTTTGAACAACATTGTCCATAAGGCAGAGGTAGTTAACATGGCAGTACCCATGGATGCTGGTACTGATGTCCTTGTAACCAAGTCCCATCAGCAAGTCACCTCTGACGTCTCGAAGATCAATGTTGATAGAGATGAAGTTGTGCAACAGACTCTTCCTGGCACGCAATTGGAGAAGTTTCCAGCAGATTTTGATGCTTCGGTTGCAAATGCATATTATTCAAACAATCAGCTCGAGTGCTCTCTATTTAATAAGAAGTCAACTGAAGATGTGGCAGGGGATTATCTTCAGGATCATGCTCATATAGGGGTTGGCTTAGAAGCATCTAGAGAGAGGACTTGTGCTAGTTTAGGAAATTCACCAGAATCAGAAGTCATAAATCTAGTACCTGAGATTCAGGTTGGAGCACAATGTTTGCAAGATACGCCGTCTGATTGTGGTTTGGCAAGTTTAAAAATGATAGCTCCTTCTGGGCCTCTTCCCAAAAACAGTAAGGGCAAGAAGAGTAAATCAGTTGCTGCAGGAAGCACAAACAAAGAAGTTAAATCAGCCAAGAAGAAAGGTGTTAGGCAGACAAAGATAGAGAAATCTTATAATGGTGGTGTGCTGACTTCTTCAGTGATAGAGAGAACGTCAGGCAACTCATCAAGCAACAAGGAAGCTTCTGTTGAGCAATTACCTTCATCAGAAGAAACTGAGTTGACAGTCTTTAGAGAAGCCAGCGATATGGATTTTAGTTTGTCCCAGTCACAGGCGTCCAAAGATATGCTTCCTTCAACTAAAGCTAAGGGGAGTGGAAGTCCAAATACTTTGGAAGGATCTACGAAGAGAAGGTCTAAAAATTCATCTTCGGGGAAAAGCAGAAGGTCAAGCAGTTGTAAACAGAAGGTAAATGAGAAGGGGACTGTTAGCGATGTTGATGCAACTGCTCGTGATCCTGCTGTTAATGGAGTGGAAGGTGGTATGGGAAAAGGTAATGAATATCTATGATTCTGCTTATTATTATCAGCTGACTCTATACTCCTGTTCTTGTTTGTATTGTTACATAAAAGATTTGCTCCGAGGATAATGGTCAGTCATTTTGTTGCACGTTTGTTTTATTCATTGCTGCAGGGACTATCGAAGAAGACACTAGTGTAGCTAATGTGGACGGTGTTTTTGGTTGCCCAGTTGTTGATGATTCGGGCGAGTCATTGGATACTGTACCGAAGCAGCATTTGCCTGTCGATAGTGCTTGGGCGCACTGTGATGATTGTCATAAATGGAGACGTATTCCAGTTGAACTGGTGCAGATGATTGGACAAAATGACCGTAGATGGTACTTCCCATTATCCCTCTCTGTTTACTATTTCCATAAACCGTGTTGCTCTTCTTATCTCATTCTTTTGTTGTATCTCTTGTATTTGCACTCTAAATTATGTTATTATTATTCTGCACTTTGCACACTAAATATCTTCCCAATGCATAATGACTTACCCAGTTATGTGCCTTGATCCCGAGGAGACTGAATTTCATGAAGAATATAGAATACACCACTTGTCTTTCCACAAATTGTTTAATTTTAATTTGTTTAGTGTTGGGAGCTTAATACTGATGGGTTGAATTTACTGTGACCATTGTATAGTTGAGCGGCTGAGCCAGTTTTCTGATTTCATGATACTATAATTGTAACATTGCTTCTAGCCTGTTATGCATGTATTTCAAGCTCATGATAGGCTAGTTTTGAAAACATGACATGAGGTGAAGCTATATGTTTTTTGAGCTGGAAATGTACAGTCATGTTCAAATCTAGCCAACTAGGGCACTTGAGAGTTTGTTTGTAGTACATTTTATTGCGCTACGGAGTGTTTCAAATTGCACAAACTTTTTGGTCAGGTCATTTATTGAAGCTTTTGCTAGACAAGTTTGTTTTCTCTCATTTGAATACTTCTGTCTTTCAATTTATTTCTTCTAACTCCATTTTCTTTGTCTTCAAGGACATGCAAGGACAACATGGAAAAAATGTATGCAGATTGCACCATTCCCCAGGAAAAGTCCAATTCAGAAATTAATGCAGAGTTGGGAATATCAGATGGAGATGAAGATGCCTTTGATATCCCTGTGAACAATAAAGGGATAGAGAATAGACAAATAGGTGAGGTGTATCGTCAGTGTTACGATATGAAAATTAGATTTCAGCTTTTGGAAGTGCATGATTTGGAATTTATATACTTATTTTCAAAGCGTACTTGCTGTTCTCTTATCGATTTCAGTTTCCAAGGAGCATGAATTTACACGGATTTCTACTAATCAGTTTCTGCACCGTCGTCGTAAGACTCAAAACATTGATGAGGTCTGGATCTACACTTTCTTGTGGTTCTTGTTTGATGCTTTTGGAAACATTAAATATCATGAACAGGCATATGAGTAGCTATCTTGATGTCATGTGTGCACATGAAGCCTCGTTGTGTCCAGACTGGAGCTTATTCCAGTCGGGTAAGCTAAGCTCTTGTGCCACTGTGACTGTCCTTCAGCATTAGGCTGTAGAATCCTTGACATTCCATTTTACAGTACTGGGTACTCTTCTGGGCTGAGCCAAACTCGTGGGAAAAAGTACTCACTTATTGCTGAATGTGAAAAGGCTGGAAGTTGGAGGATGCACCTTCAGAAAGTTAGAATTTTTTCACAGGCTACATCATATGCTTCTCTTAGTTATTTTCTTTAGTCTGTTTAGCATCTCATATGGGTATCATGATATCATTTATTACTGCGTATATGGGGTGCTCTAAACTGAACCGGTTTTTATTTTTCATCTGTACTACTAGTTAAGTCAATTAGAAATTGAGTACATGTCTTGGAGGTTTCTCGACTCTTAAGCCTAAAAATCAGTGAATTTGTGGCATATCATTTTACTTTTGTATATGTTTTTGTAACATTATGCAGGTTATGGTTTGCCATTGTCGACCACCAGTCGATGGCACGCTGGGCTGTGGAGATGAATGCTTGAATCGTATGCTCAACATTGAATGTGTTCACGGCACCTGCCCTTGTGGGGACCTCTGTTCAAATCAACAGGTACCACAATCTTTTATGGCTAGTTAAATTGTCCTGCCCTACAAGTTCAGAAAAGAGCATTGACAGTCCAAGCATTTTTGTGCAGTTCCAAAAGCAAACTTATGCCAAGATGAAGTGGGATCGATGTGGCAAGAAAGGTTTTGGACTGCGAATGCAAGAGGATATTTCGAAAGGGCATTTTCTTATAGAATACGTTGGAGAGGTACTTATGTAAAATTCCTATGTTTATATTCTGCATTCTCATAAGAAACGTTATTTACACAAAATGCCTTGTTCAAGGATACACTTTTTCCTATTCTCTTGGTGCAAATAATTTCTCACAGACATTGGTATGGGATAGAATGAATAAACTAGATTATGAATGTAAATAAAGAAGATGGAGGTAAGTGAAGGGCTACACTGATTTGATTCTGGTGTCATTGTTCTCCTTATTGCTGGACTGAGTTGTCAGGAGAAACTCAGCGAAGGATGTCTAGGTATTATGTTTGAGCCAACCTAGAGCTGGAATTGATGAGTGTTGTGTTCTGGGCTTAAAATCTAACCTAATTGAATCTATCTTATTGTAGCATTTTGTATTTGGACTGTTAGAAGATTATTACTTGTTGTACATTTCAAGTATGTCTTAATTTTTGCTTCATAGGTGTATGATGGGCATGGGCGTCATGCTTTTAGATTTTACCTTTATGGTTACTAAGATATAGCCCCGTCAATACACAGATTACATCTTTTAGCCATCTTTGACTCTCAAGAACCTTAGTAATGTTTTCATACTATAGTTGGATAAACTTTGGCCTTTGCTTACATTGCTGGACACCTTTGCTGGCGCTCTGTGTGTCTCTCTCTTTTACGCACAAAGACACACGTAGATGTATCTAAATATGTCTGGTATTTGTTGTAACCTTTATTATTTATTAAGATATAGCCCTGTTAATGAACATATAAAATCAACCATAAAAGAAAATAAACATGTAAAATCTTTTGGCTTTTTTTTACTCTCAAGTACCTTAATATTGTCTTCATTATACAGTTCGATAAACTTTCGCTTATGCTTACATTACTGGACACAGTTGCTGACGCTCTATCTCTCTCTCTTTCAAGCACAAACACATGTAGATGTATCTAAATTATCTCTGGTATTTCTGTAATGTGGTCTATTAGGTGCTTGATATGCGAGCTTACGAGGCACGACAAAAGGACTATGCAGCCAAGGGTCATAAGCATTTCTACTTTATGACATTAGATGGCAGTGAGGTATGTGTATTATGCTCTTCCACCAAAGACTTCTCTTTTCTAATGAGTCATGTTCTGTGAGTGACCAGAATACTTGAACCATTACAAAAAGGAAAAGAGGTGAAAGAAAGAAAAAAAAAAAGTGAAAGCAATAGCAAGATACCATGGTTGCTTTAAGATTCAAAGATGAGATGTTATTACTGTTACGTGATCATCATGTCCTGAGTACCCTCAACAGTTTCCTTATTATATGTCTTGTGTTGAGTATATGCAATCTCTTCCTCTCTTGTTTCTATTCACTTGTCCTGTTGTTTGTTCAAATGTCTTTAATAGGTTATTGTGCCCTCTGTACAGGTAATCGATGCGTGTGCCAAAGGGAACTTGGGACGTTTCATTAACCACAGCTGTGATCCTAATTGTCGTACTGAAAAGGTGATGCATGTGGAAATTCCTTTTGCTGTGTCTTACTATTTTTCTTATTGTCATATTTGCTTCTTATTGTCGCTTTGTTTCCCTTTCCTTTTATACTGAATCCATGGTTTATGTATTTGAACAGTGGGTTGTCAATGGAGAAATTTGTATTGGGCTGTTTGCACTGAGGAATATTAAGAAGGTATGTTTGCTGTCTGTTTAATAATATCTTATTCTGTCATATACAATTCAAGAAATGCTACTGCCTTCAAATTTGCTCTGCTGATAGATACCGGTTGGACCATGATTATTTATTGTTCACTGATAACTTAGAAGTTTGAACTTCTCGATATAGTTTCTTTATTATGTTTTCGGGCATCACTGGATGCCACTAGCATGAGAAATTCAAAGAGTCACAGTTGCCGTCAAAGTAGTGGTTTTCTCACACCGTGGCTTGTTTCTTGTCATATGTGGTCTGTCGTTCCTGGTCTTTGGAATCATGGTGGCACTGTTGAGACTCATGTTACTTGTTAGACATAACAGAACTCTAACTCAGCTGATAGAACTGTGCTCGATTGATTAATTCAGTAACTCGCGAATTTTGGCAGGATGAGGAGTTGACATTTGACTACAACTATGTAAGGGTTTTTGGGGCAGCTGCCAAGAAATGCTATTGCAGTTCGGCTCAGTGCCGTGGTTACATTGGCGGTGATCCAACTAACTATGAAGTAATTGATCAAGTTGATTCAGATGAAGAATTTCCTGAACCTGTGATGTTTGATGACCGAGGAAAAGCTTTGACAAAAGCACGTTCTTCTGCACAAACACAGATTATGGAGAGTGTTTCAACAGAAAGGTATAAATTGAATGAGGAAGTGGAATCTCTCGGAAAATGCATGGTCTCGCCAAACGTCAGTGCTTCTATGAGTAAATCTCCTGATATCTCTCATGCTCGTGGTTCTTTGGAAATGACTGATATAAATGCAAAAGACCCTCGTCCATCAATGGAAATCTCTTGCCAAGCTGAACAAATAACGAGCAACCCCTCCTTTGATATTGAGAAAGATATTTCAATGGAGGAACCTGTTGACAGAAGCTCTAGTTGTACGCAGATGTCGGAGAAATCTACTATCCCAACACCTGTTAAACCATCAAGTGATGATACTGTCGTTAATAAGAAGTCAAAATCTGCCTCTGAAGAGAAGCGGGTTTTTGTAAAGTCCCGTTTTCTATTCAAAAGTCAATCTGGATCCACTAAGAAAGGGAAGCTTAACGGTAGTCCTCAAATTGTAAATAAATCTCAGACGGGGACCAACAAGCTTCAAGTGCAACCTCTAAAGGTTAAAAAAGGCATAGAAGGTGTTCCTAATGGTCGTCTTGAGACAGGTTAGCTCCTTTTGCTTCAATAGGCAGGCAGAATTTTGTTTACAATATATTTTAGATGCTAATGACTTTTACGTGGTGCAGTCGAGGAGAAACTTAATGAACTGTTAGATGCAGAGGGTGGCATAACAAAGCGAAAAGTGAGCGACTCTATCACTTGTTTTGTGTGTGTTTATCTTTGTTGCAGCATTCAGTAATCTTGTTGTGGCACCTTTGCTGTCTGTTTAATTTGTGTGCGGTTTGTTAGTTCTAGAAAACCTTGTGTCTTTTTGTTTAGTTTGTGCTGTTGAGAGTACCAGTTGCATTGTCCTTCATTTTCTAGTCTCTTGAGCTTCTTCCTAGTGTATTGATGTGGTAACCGCTTGGCTTTTATTATTCAGAGCCTCGAGTATAGGTAGTTTACTGCTCTATGCTGAATGAGAAGACTTATTTAGTTATCACAGTTATGTAACTCTTAGCTTTCTGTTGGGCTCTGTGGTCCCATGCTAGCCATGTCCTATCCATATAATTCACATCTTAGGTGCCTGTTTTTCATTTTGCAAACTTTTAACTGTTCTTTTCTGCCTCTAAACTTGTTGTCAACATCTCTGATGCAAATGTGGCTTTACAAACTGTTCTCACAGATTGCAGTTGAATGGTAGAATAATCACCTTGAGCTTATTTCATTGACAGGATGCTGCTAAAGGCTATCTGAAGCTTCTGCTTCTTACTGCTGCTTCGGGTGCTGGTGTAAATGGTGAAGGAATCCAAAGGTACTTGATATGATTAGCTTGTAGTGCTATGTAAAATCTGAATGACTTTCTTTTTCTGACTGGGTTGGTGCTTTCTTGTGTTGCAGTAATCGAGATCTCTCCATGATCCTTGATGCAATTTTGAAAACCAAATCCCGGGCAGTCTTAATTGATATAATCAACAAAAATGGTGTGCCTTCTTTTGTTCCACGTATGCCTCTTCACTTATAAATTTGTGTAGAGCCAATGGTTTCATCATAAATTTGCTTGCTTTCTTTCCAGGTCTGCAGATGCTTCATAATATAATGAAGAGGTATAGACGAGACTTTAAGAAGATTCCAATTGTCCGTAAACTTCTAAAGGTACACATAAAGGGACATGCTATTCTGTTGTTATTGTATCATGCCAAGAAATTAGGTTAATTCCTATCCCCTCAACAAAGAATGGGAAACAGAAAACGATTTCCCACATCCAATCTTTTTTTCTTGTTTCGTTTTTTTTTTTTAGTTATAGGACATAATACGTTCGATGTACAGACTTGTAGCAAGATGTATGAATATAAAACTACAAGGCAAGCGACTAGAACTTATTACTGTTTACAAATGAAAGAGACTAATTGCTTAAGAATGAAGTGTGAACACAGTAAAAAAACAGATAGAAATGTTGATGTAAGTGTTTGTTTCAGGACTGAAATGTAGTCAGTTCTTCCAGAAGATTTAGCATGGAAAAATTATTCTTTATGTTCTTGTTTCCTGCAATACTCGCATTGGAAGATGTAGAGCATTTCACAGGATGTGTGTTTTTAATTTGAAGTTTGGTTTAACATGTTGAAGTTTGGGATTAATTCGTGGCACTGTGCAATAGTATGTGTTGATTATTTTGTATTTTGAGGGCCATTACTGGAAGCTCAAAGACCATAAAGTGCCACCAACTATCTTTCTTATGCAGGTTATAGAGTATTTGGCGGTCAGGGAGATACTTACAACCGAGCATATATATGGCGGCCCTCCACGGGTGGGCATGGAGAGGTAAAATTAGCTAGCTCTTTTTGAGTGTGCAGTATTTTCTACTTGGTTTCTAGATCATCTTTTCATTAGTATTAATCATCTTCACACATCATCCTTCACTGCCATTTGTTGTGACTTTTGTCTTCGGTTGGTCGGTACTTTGATTGAGCTTTAGTTCTTGTGTCTTTGAACCGCAGCTTGTTTTAGTAGCTTTGTCGCTCCATTCATATAAATCTTTTCTAGCATTTCATGTTTTGTTGGAAAACTGGAATGATGCTGATAATTGATTCATGCAGTTTTCGGGAATCAATGCTGTCCCTGACAGAGCACGATGATAAGCAGGTACCAGATTGAAGTTTCCCTCCCCCTGTGGAATTCATGTTCCCAGATATAGTCGGTTCAATACTTTCGTTTATTTTATTGATGACTATTGTTAATGGGTATTCAGGTACATCAAATTGCACGGAGCTTTAGGGATAAATGGTTTCCTCGACAAAGGTACGAGTTTAGGTCAAGCTGTCCAGATAAGGATGAGGGGAGGAAGGAATTCCACAGGGGATCGAGCGGCCATAGGCCACCATCAATAGTACACAGTAATCGAAGACATGATCAGTGTGCTAGATCCACAGAAGCCATAGATTGTGTTGGCCAATCAAAGGTCTCCACAACTTCATCAGACAGTGCTGTTGTGCTTTCAGAGGTTCCATTGAGTTCGGTGGAAAGAAGTGTGAATGAAGGCTCTTCTGCACCTTGTACTACTGAAGTCAATCAAAGGACCCGCAAGCGGAAAAGCAGGTGGGACCAACCAGCTCTGAGTAAGCATGATTTTCAGAAGAAGCCAGAGGAATTTGAGAATTTGAAGAAAGTTGAAGACAGTTGCTATCAGCAAGGTGAAGCCAGTGATGCTGTTGATGTTCCACCTGGATTCTCATCTAATCCTGTGGTTTCCTCTGTGGAATCTTCTGTTAACTGTCAGCAAAGTGAAGCTAGTGATGCTGTTGATGTTCCACCAGGGTTCTCATCTAATCCTGTGGTTTCCTCTGTGGAATCTTCTGATAACAGCTTGCTCGATGTCGCTGATATTCTCCCAAAACATAGTACTTGTCTTCTGAACCATCCACTGAATGAAGTTGTCGGAAATCTGCAGAAGAAATTCGACTCTTGCTTGCCTGTCTCGTATGGAATTCCCTGGCATATTATGCAGCAATTTGGGTCACCTGGGGATGAAACTGAAAGTAGTTGGGTTGTTGCTCCAGGGATACCGTTCCATCCATTTCCACCCTTACCCCCTACTCCTTACCCTAAGAAGGAAGCCGAAGATTGTCTTGCTACAAATCACCAGGAACTTGTCAGCCGCCAGTCTGGTGGCTATCCAGTTGAAAATATTGTTGCGGGCACAGCTGGTTGTAGAAATGTTGACACTGTGATTCCTTCTGGAACTGGGACACATGCGTTCAATCGCCCAAAGGGCGGTTCGTATGGTCTGGGGAGGAAGTACTTTAAGCAACGGAAGTGGAAAAGGTCCCAGTGGAATTCGAGGAATGAAGGGCCGGTACATAATGGTAACAATACGAGAAATGGGGTGGTTTGGAGCTCCGATATTGGAGGAGGCACGACTCAACGCGAGCACACAAATTCTTCATTTAGCTCATCCACAGGTTGTAACCAGTAGTTGAAAAGGAGAAAACTGGCAATTTACATTAACCCGCATATGCACAGCACCAAAAAATGAGAAGGATAGCGTCAAATGATGTTTTTGGAGAATTTTCATTCCATACATGTTATGTATGTCAATTCTTTCCAAGAGTTAAATTTAAAGATGAGTTATTCATTCAATACAAATGTTGCTTTTCTGGTGGCCCTCATGATGGAGCTCTTTCAAGTTGCTCTCTCTGAGATATTGAAGAACTTGGCCTCAGTCAGGTAAGTAAGTTGGTGTATCTTGATGCATGGTTAATAATTTGTTTCCTTACAAGAAAGATTGTGTTAACGGTTCTGGTTCTTTGGGGGATGGTAAGGTGAAAAGGCGCTGGAGTTGTTTCTGATATACTCTTCAGTAGTTAGCTCGTTGTTTTGTCGCATAATCGTGATTAATACCCTTCATTGTCCATGAATCTCTTATCGTGCTTTGATTGCATTTATATGTTCTCCGTCTGCCTCTTGAGTATCTGTGGCCAATTAAGTAGATCACCATTTGGCTTGGTAGACAGCCAGCCATGACATGCATGCAGACCACAAAGAGAGGGAGGGACCTGGTGTGGTTTTGCGACATATATAGGTGCGTTTTCCTTTTCATGTTTTGATTAAACTTACTATAACCATTGCTTTTGTTTGAGTATTTTACTATGGTAAAATCGACCATTAGATTTGTGGTTCTCACTGCCCATCTGTTCCTTATGGCGACGGCTAGTAACGTAATAAACTTAAGGACCTAGCTAAGCTTATCTCATGTAGCAAAGGAAGGACTGGCTGGTGATGAGTTTGGTCCAACACCAAATCAAGAGATATAAGAGATTTAGTAGGGTCCTCTCTTTTTTGCCCTGGATTTTTAGATGTGTGCCAAACGAAGATATATTATATTACGTTCATGCGATTTAAGGCATTGATGAGTATTACTGAATGTTTATTACGGTTCCCAGTTTCTGTAAAATGGCGGCAGATTGTTTCCCCCCAACTGATGGAAAGAACATTACGAACTAGATTAGAAATCTGTCTCGTCCTAAGATTACAATTCATTTCTTGTCGTAAGTATTCACTTGTAGCCTTTGATATGTAGACAGATCGGCGCAACTCTCCTGTCACATGTGCATTTGTAGATCATGAATTCCTAATGGCATAATGGAGCAGGGAATGGAAATCTTCTTTTCTGTGCTTCCTACGTTTGCCAATTTCTTCAACCTTGTCGATTGTGGATCAGCTCTGGTAGAGATCGGGATGAGAATTGAGATTACATTAACCGTACTCAAGGAGTAGATTACCTGGTCGTTCCCGAGAAAGAAAGAGGGTTAGGCTTTAGGTAAATGAAAACTAACGAGATGAGATACACATCAGTTGGTCCTTCCTGGTCCTGGCTCAAAGTTGTTAATGGTCTTACCAATCTGTCATATGTGCGTAAATGGCAATTTCGCTTGGGATGCTGAGTTTCGCTTGTTGCGTGCTACAGTTATGACCAACTCAGGCAGGGCTGCTGCCGCAGCAGGACTTCTACATGATCACCTCAGCAGACGCCATGGAGCTTTCACATGTAACTGGCCTCTTGTTCGACTACAAGTGCCGAGTCAAAGGGGCATCTAAAGGACCAAGGATGGCGTGGAATAGCGGCTACAAGAATGTGTTGCTCAACCTCAACTCTGCTACAGCCACTGCGATGACATGCTTGCTGAGGAATGTAATCATACTGCAGATTTTCTTGCTAGCAAGGGTCATAGACTTGTTTAGTAGGCATCTCTTCGATGTGTGTGAACCTGAATTTAGGTATTGGTTGTCCTATAACATTATGGAGATAACCTAGCTATGTTCAGTTTTATTACAAGGTTAAGACGCTAATGTGTTGATCTTTCTACCAAATAGCAAAATGAGAGACAACCTTATGTCCGTTGGGGGTTTTGTAGCTCTGCTTGGTTTGGGTTGTACTTGTACATCAATTCGATGGCAAACAAATTGCCGAGAATGCGTTTTCAAGGGAGCATGACAGGAAGAGGCGGCAATGTATTGAGGTGACAAAATAATAGGGTACTATTATGAGGGGCATGATAAATACTCAAAACCGAGAATGCTTCGGAGAATGCAGACATCTTCTTTGATTGACACTACCGGAGAAGATTTCAGTATTCCTCGTTCGCGCAAGCATCCAATTTGTGACGAAGGTAGCTTCTCTCTGTATATCAGTTGGATGATGCAGACCAGCAAGTACCACTCCTTAATGCATCTACCTGCGTTTATATCTGCAAAATAGGAAACATCGCTTCATGTTCAGCATCCCATTCGAAAAAGTATAGGAATGCCTTCCGATAAGAAGGCTTCTTGGAACTGTTGCCTACCGTGATTTGCTCTTGAAAGAACTCTTAGCCTTTTTGCGTAACCCACTGCTGGAACCCTTGTTTAGCTGTTTCCTATCACTCATATCGGTCTGGAATAGATCCTTCATCTCTTCGGTCCTGGATTGATTTCTTTGGGAAGGGCGCTTTGATTTGTTAGGGGCCTTCTTCTCTACGAACTTGCCCGAATCTTTCGCCCTCTTGACAGCTTTTACTGCCTTGGCACGTCTATACCCTAGGTCAACCAGTGACAATCCAGCCTTTTCTTTCTTGTCTTTTCCGCTACCCCGCTGCAACATTTTGATGGAATGTAATTTAAACCAGTCTAATTCTCTTAGATACAGATGCAAGTTTGACTCTAAACGGGAGAGAGAGCACATACCATAGGTTTGACTTCGTCTTCTTCATCCTCCAGCATCTCTCTCGCTGCTTGTAGTTTGCGACGCAGCTTACGGGGCAAGTTCCTCTGATACAACAAGTTGGGCGCTTTTAATTTACTACTCTACTCGCAATAAATTGTGAAGCCAATTTATATGAAAACACAACTTAACAAATTTCAGGTCAGTTGAAAAGTAACAACAGTTATCACCTCATGCTCTCTCTTCCTCTTTGCCTTCATTTTTAGGTCCTCGGCTTGTTGGGCACTGATCATGCCTTTCCCAGATCCATTTTCTTTTTCAGCCGTTGCCTGGTCACAGAAGAAAAAAAGTGAGCACACTAAGCCCCAGAACCAGAACCATGATATGAACATAGCACATTTGACGTGCTTTCAAATAATAATGCGGAAAGGAACTATCAACAGAAGGGGGTAACTTCTGACACACTAGAAAAACCAATTTGCTTGGCTATAGGCTCATCAACTCAAGAGTTGCCCTCAGAATCAGAGAAATCATTTCTATTTCCAATGTCATGCCAAACTTTATAAAGGAAGAGCCATTGAAATTAAGATATTGACCAAACAAGATCTCCATTAAAAAAATTGACCTAACCCAAGATGTAGTGAAATCACCTTTGTTGCTTTCTCCAAAAGCTTCTTTTGCTTCTCAGTCATGAACCATGTTTTTTTGGGCCGGGAGAATATTTCTTCCTTGTGTTCAATCATATTCTCAGCCTGCATAGATTCAAAGATGGTTAATACTCTGAGTGCCACTATCTCCATTGAACTTTTGTGGCAGAAAATACCTTTGTTACTTCCATCTCAGTTATATACAAGAGATGGATATAACAGTGCAACACAAGAGAATAACAAATATTTAAGTAACTTTGACCATCAACACTGTTTATCTCAGATGGGAAGGGGCAAGTTACCTTTGTTACTTCCATCTCAGCTTTTCTTATAGCCATCTCTTCCCTGCAGTTATTTCACACACTAAGTGCCCAAAAAAATCTAGTAAAGAGAGCTACAACTGGTTCAAATCTTAGTCATTACCTCTCTTCTTGAAGAACCTCAGCAACTTGATCTTCCATTTGCTCGATTATCTGACCCCATTTAGTAATAGATTGCTCAGCCACAATCCGACTCTTCAACTTTGAACCCACCCTTTTTGCCTATCCATTGAGATTAGACACACATGAGCTATATTTATCTTCTCGGGTAACACTTTTTCAAGGAATGTAAGAGAACAGTTAAGAGTATCAAACTTAATCTTCAATACATTAAACCATTTATCTCCGCCGTGAATGGAAATTAAATCTATGTAAGTATACTGCTCAATAATTATTCAAACATAAATTGCCCACTGAAATAAGAATAGGTTCTATCCAGATATATAAGTGCCATGAAAACTTAAGGATAAGAGCACGTCAGTAGCTTACAATGGATTTCAAAAGAGAGCGATCATTATCTGTTACGAATGTGACAGCATATCCCTTCCTACCAGCTCTGGCAGTACGGCCCACCCTATGAACATAACTGCGTAAAAAATAATAACCATATCAGTAAACTGCATAATGGATAGCATCTAGATAAAGAAAGACATTATCAAATAGTAGCAGTAGCCCTCTCTCAACAATTACCTTGTAAGATCACGGGGACAGGCAAAGTTAATAACTGTCTGGACACCAACAATGTCAAGGCCCTACCAATGGCAATGAAAACAAGTGAACGGAAATAGTTAGTAATCAAAAGGATTAACCAGCACCATCAAAGAGTGTATGAGTTTTACTGGACTTAACCATCTTATTATTAATAACCATTTAATCTAATAAGACAAATAGTAGAAATGTGATTGTATGTATCAATACAAGCCATTTCGCATCAACAATTGATTTAAACTGGTAATGAACTACTAGAAAAAGATATATAACAGTTGGAATATGTACTCACACGAGCAGCCACATCAGTTGCTATCAAAAAGTCAACTTCCTGCTTTCTGAATTGCTCCAAAGCCTGATATAGGCAGTCACAAGTCCGGTTTAAGAATCCAAAACAATTATTACTCGCACAACAAAACAAAGAATCAGTGAGAGTGCTAATATCTAGTAGCGATACCACTAAATCTTGATTTAGCTTATTCTAATCCACTCACATCTAAACGCTGAGCTTGAGTAAGATTTCCATGAAGCTCAGCAGCTTTAAGGCCTGCTAGTCCAAACAGAATCTTAAGCCTATGTGCAGCTTGCTTAGTGCCACTGCCAAAAAATAATAAGAAGTTAGTAACCAATTACAAAGTTCCATGACAGATTACCAGTATTCAGATGTATGCACACCGAATCTATACTGACACTGATTAATGATTATCATATAGCTCAGAACAAAGTTAGCCAGTGAATGCAACAACCTGAAAACAATCACTTTCGATGTGAAAGTTTTTGTGCACAATGCCAGAAGAACTGCTTCGTCATTCCCCTCACGCATTCTACGTATCCTAATCACCCTGAAAACCAAAACGATCAAACTCGTAAGACAAGTGAAATTCTTAATTCTTGGTCCAAGAAGAAGCTATCCAAGCTCACCATGCTTGTCAAAGATGGATTGATTTTTAAAGCAAAGTAATTGTGGTTGTTACAAGAATGTGAAGAATAACAGATAAACTTAAAAGAAACAATGTGAAAAACAGATAAACTTACTCCTCAGTCAATGTTGCCGGTCGTTTTGTAGATGGGTCAGCTGAGAGCCGCAATGGTTTAGATAGAGAAAGTTTTATAAGTTCATCAACTTCTTCGGTCATGGTAGCTGAGAACAGCATAGTTTGCCTCCTTTTGGGGCACAGCCGAACCTAATAACAAATAACGGAATTAAAAAGATTCAGGAGTAGCAACAATAACAATCGGAGATAGTAAAAGCCAACTAGATTATTGAGATACAAGCAGCTAATAGTGTATATAATCCATGCAATGCTCCTGAGCAGTACATAGGATAAGGTTTCAAGATCTAAAGAGGACTAGCAATTACAAGACTGTCTGATTAGAAAGAGAGTGCTTAAAGCCATAGAGATGCACATTTATACATAAAAGAAAAATCAGAGACTGCTATTTTCTATGAAAATATACTGTTTCAAGAAAGAAAACAACAGCTTGCTAGTACCAGTTCTTGAATTTCTGCACTGAATCCAAGCTCCAAAAGACGATCAGCCTCATCAAGGATCATAACTGCAAGGTCATCCAAATCTACAGACATCGAATTCCGCAGATGGTCTATCATGCGCCCTGGGGTAGCAACAACAATATCTGGCATTGTTCTCAAGGCAGCTTGTTGAACCTAAATTGAAAAGGTGTTATTACAGAACTAAATAAGCATACATATAGTAAAAGAAGATGTATTCCACACAAACACATCTACCTTAACCCAGCATGGGACAATGGCTATAATATCAAAATGGAACCAATAATATTTTGATAACATCAGGATCAATTGAAAAAAAGGTGCACAGGATTTACAAAGAAAAAGAGGAGCACGAGAAATGTGCATGGGTTTAGGTCAGAATTGAACAATATCAGAAATGATTGAAACAAGAAAAATAAGAATTTAGTTGAATTCACAGATTGAACGTCAAAATTTTGAGGCACCAGACAGAAACAAACCAAATCAATGACAAAAGAGTCTAAAAGACAACTAACCTTAGATGAAAGCCCACCCACGATTAAGCAACATCTGATATCGGTAAACTGAGCAAGCTTCTCAATCATGCTATGAACCCTGCATTGGATATGTCCGATATAGATTTTCAGTCAAAAGCAATGATTCCTACAGTAGAAAAGGCTCCAGAAGGGCACAAGTATTGGAAACATAAAGTAAAAGTTAAATATCCAGAATTTGGTTACACTGGTACATAACTATGAACATAGAAAATGCAATTTAAAATTTTCCAGTATCTTAGCACAAGTTACACACGGGAGTGGACAAAATCCAAGTTCACTGGCCAGGTTGAAAATAACACTTACTGAACAGCAAGCTCTCTGGTAGGAGTAAGTATAAGAACCCGTATTGCTTGAACACGTTTTGGCCGAAAAAGTAACCTTTCCAGTGTAGGCAATGCAAAGGCAGCTGTCTAAAAGAGAAAAACACAACAACAGAAACAACATTATCAGCAAATGTAAAGCATCTTCCCTGCTCAGCCAATGTAACTGACTCGGCAAATAAATGAACCCCAAAAAGTAAGTATACCTTCCCAGAACCAGTAATGGCACTACCACAGATATCCCGCCCACTGAGTGCCAGAGGTATGCAAGCCGCCTAGAGGATAACATTTACAAACAATCAACCAACCGGAACCCTATAGGAACATAAGAGAGTGAAACAGGAGGTGACAACAAAAAACCTGAATCGGTGTAGGCTTAACATAACCTAACGCCTCACAGGCTCGAAGCAACGGTCTTGACAAGTTGAGCTCTATGAATGAATTTGCATGAAATGAAGTTCCTTCAGAGGATGCAAAAAATGACTTTGGTTCATCAACATTAGTCGCCTCATCATCATCATCGTCATGCCTGTACTCTTCCTACAGAAGGAAGAAAAAAGATTATCCTCTCCAGCATACCATCTATCGTCACAAAGGTTATGCAGAGAAATGAAGGCCAAAGTTTAGGAGCGAAAGGCCAACTCTCTAGTCTTGGGCATCTAAAACCAAGTTCTAAGGGTGCTGATAGTACAATCAGCTCAACAGTTTCGGTGTCGAAGGTTGAATGACTGTTCACGGATTTCTAGTAAATACACCGAAACAGCTCCTAAAACTGAACAATCTTCAACTAGCATAGTTAGGTTGAACATACCTAAGCGTTCACAATCAAATGAATTGGACTATTTAATAGAAAAGAGAAGCTTTAATTACTTGTCTGTCGGACTCAGCATCGGAAGCATCAGATGCTTCGTCGTCACTGGCGTTGTTAATGGGAACGGCGAGCTGCTGGCGAGCTCTTGAGATCTTGTCGTCTATGGAAGTGGTTCTCCGACGAGCGTGCTCCTCTGCTACAGATTCCGAGAAGGCTGCGAAATCCCACGGCGACTGTGTCTTGGTTTTGGAAGGCTTAACTCGTTCCTCTTCATCCTCATCCTCCTCCTCGTCTTCATCCTCATCTTCTTCTTCGCCGTCGCCGCCACTGTCCTCCTCCGCCGCCGCTGCCTCCGCTTTCTCTTCCTCTTGTTCTTGCTCCAGTCTTATTTTCCGTTGTTTATGTGGCGGCTGCTCTGGTTCTTCTTCTTCTTCTTCGTCTTCCTCGTCTTCTTCGTGATAAGAGAGCTCAGGCTCTTCGTCGCTCGGAGGTTCGAAGAAGAAGCTGGGAGCCATTGAATCGGAAGACGGTGGCGCGCTGGCTGCGGCTTCTGCTGCTAAATTGAACTCGTGATATTCCCCAGCGGAGGGGAAGGGAGGGTTTAGACTTCAGACGAAGATGGCTGCCTTAGACTGAAAGTTGAAAAGGAGGAGGTTTAACAATTAACGGGCAACGATATCAACATCGAGCTACGGTGGCGTTTGGTAATCTTCCTCGAGTACTAAATGGGCTTTCAGCCCATCAACGACATAGGGGGCAGGTATTGTTTTGACCTAATCCCTAAAACAGGTAATTCTCATGCTGGAGCTGGAGTTTCGTAGCGGGATTAGGGTAATGATGTTATGGAAGCTAGGTAAAAGTTTAACATTTTTTGTGGTTTTACTTTTACTAATGCGTTTAAATCGAATCGATGCCATATAATCAGGCGATGAACATAATCATTTCTCGAATACGTTTGGAATTGTCAAGATATGGAGAGTGTCTTTACATTCCAAACTCTTAGAAGTTTCCGTGATTTATCTTCTAATTTTCTTTTTTGATGTGAAATTGTGTCGTCTGGTGATCGTGTGTCCTCTTGTATTCGTAGGTTGAGTCTAATGTATTGTCACCCTATTAATCATGTTGTTTATATGGAGGCTTGGTGTTTGCTCGCTTGGTCTAGTTATGTGTTAGTTTTTGTTAGGGGTGTGCAATGGTCCGGTCTGTACCGGATCGCACCGGACCAAACAGTTGTTCAGACCGGACCGGATCAGACCAAGTATAATGCGATTCAGTCCTTTGTTCTCATGAATTTTATAATTACTAAAGAAATGATGGACCGAGCTCATATTTTGACCGGACCGAACCAAACCAAATGTAAGAATGATCCAGTCTTTGATCCTAAAATATATTTTACTAATGGACCGCGGTTATCATGAATTTCGTAACCGAACCGGTTGCACATACCTAGTTTTTCTGTAATTGGGTCCTCCCACTTTTATATTGCTCTTTAGGATAGCAATGGTCCAAAGTTGACCATTTTACAGGCATATGTCGTGTGCTGGGCTTCGGCCTTGTTCTTTTAATTGAACTAATTGCTAAATTAATATTAGCTACCCAAGCCCAGCCCACGAGTAACTGAAAAGGAAGAAGAAGACAAAAGAGTGGGGCATCTCTCTCTCTCTCTCTCTCTCTCACCTGGCCACCTCACTCTCTTCCCCAATTTTGCAGAGTGCTCTGCAAGAAGCTTCTCACTCCGTCCTTCCCACTCCACTCTCACCGTCATTGCAATTGCTCTTCCCTGCCATGTCGCAAACCCTAGCTCGTTTCATCTACACTTCTCGCCGTCGTCTCACCAGCTCCAGCTTAATCCTTCCAAAATGTACCCACTCCTCCGCCGCCTCCGCCATCACTCACCGAACTCCTTCACCTCCAAGTGCTACTCATCATCTCCGCCGGCCTCCACTGCCGTACTCGCTCTCCCATGCTGGAGCATCTTTCCGCACCTCTCTCACCGCGACTCGGTGGCTCCATTCCTACTCAGCTGGTGCCGAGATGGAGGGAGAAGAGGAGATGACGGCACCGCCTGCCGGAGCTGGCTGCAGCGACAGTAATCAGCATCAGCTCCCCTACTACCTCGTTGTTATGGATAATCACCCTAGCTACCAGCAAATCGCCCAGAACCAACTCTTCAGAGACTCTTTTGTGAAGATGGTTGATCTCCTTCACAGGTAGACCTCTTAATGATCTCTCTAATTTGGCGAATTCATCGTTGATTGTGGGTGGTGTTTATGGTCGAATTGTTGTTGTTTGAGTCAGTGCTGCTCGTTTTGGGCTGTAGAGTTCGAGTCAGTAAGCTTTTTAACGTGTGTAGCTGCTTGTTCTAGTTTGTTTTGGAGGGTTAGATGTGGCCGAGATTAGAGGAGTCAGTTGTGAATCCGCATCTCTGCAGTTTTTGCTTAAGCTAAACATTATTGCTCAATAATAGTGAGGTTTTGCTCTGCTGATCATCTAACAAGTTATACTGAACAGAGTTTACGCGAGATAGTTTGCCTCAGTTTCAGTTTCGATCATTTGACCAATGTGTATCTGTTATCTTATTTCTATACTCTTGCATCAATATATAGTTTGCTTGCTTTTTTTCCTTTTTGCTGGTTCGATGACATATAGCATTTCAGGATCCCGGGAGCTAAGAAGAAGAAGAACTACTTCTTAGATTTTTATGTTCGCGGGGATCAGGTTGCGTTTGGTTGCAAGATCAACACAGAGACAGCAAGCAAGCTTAAAGGTTTTTGCTAAAGTCTGTTTGAGCAATTAGTTTGCTATGTGATTAATTGAACTCTGAAATCAAGCCGTTCGTTACTTTTAAACCAGGAATGCCTGAGGTTGCCAATGTCATTGACTGCAACAGCGAGCCTGCAAGTCTTCGAGGCGGCCATTCTGACATGACGACCGACTTGGGCTTGGAAAATAAACAAGCGCTGCCTTACTGGCTCATTCGCATGGGTCAGCCCTGTGGCGAGGAACTCACCGAGCAGCAAAGGGTGGACTTCTCCATGATGAAGTTGGTCCCGATCCTTGACAGGTGCTTAATCTCTATAATTTTGCATCGATGGATATAGTTAGTTAGTTTGCTTGCTTGTTTGTTTACTGGTTTACTTTGTCGGTACGAATCAGCCTCCTGAACAAGTACAGCTTAGACATTTTAATCAACGAAGATGAGGTCGCCTTTGGATGCGAGATCAGTGAGGAGACTGCGACAAAGCTAAAAGGTTTTGTCTAGCGATTTAGTACTGGATTAATCTATACTGAAAGTTTTTAAGCTGCTGCCACTTAGTTTTAGACTTAGACATAATTAAGCTGTGAACTCAATTCTTTTCTTCCGTTTGAACCAGGAGTGCCTGGTGTTGTCGATGTCTGTCAATCACCCCGGACCCATTCTGCTGCCTGCCACTTTGAATTTTTTGCGAAGAGTGCGGGGCTTTATGAAATGCTTGACAACTCTTCTTCCGATGAAGAGATGGCAGACTTCGAGCCTTTGCCTCAATTCCCTTCCTCATTCTCCGATTTTATCAGTGATCAGCATAAGAAATTGCATCACTGGTTCATTTTTAAGGAAAAGCCCCGTGACAGGGTGCTCACCACGGAGAGGGAAATCGTGGAATACTCCCTTCAGACGTTGTCCCCTGTTTTATTCGACGGGTAGACTTCACATTAATCTCTCCCGTATCATTTATTCGCGTCAGTATAGTTAGTTACATTTGACATCGTTTGGTTGTGCTTGTGCATGCATGTGTTGTTTGTTTACTACTTGTTTCTTAATCTGTCGGTTAAGAGTAAGAAGGGAGAAGGGAGCGGCGCCAAAGGGAAAACTGGAGTTGGCCTTCTATCTTTGCGACAATTGCTTTGTTTTCGGATTGGACATGGAAGACGAGAGTGCAAGCAAGCTGAAAGGTTTGTTTAACTGTTTAGTGAATCGGGTCTGAAGTTTCTTAAGCTGCTGCACTGCTGAATTAATTAGTTTGCCATTTTGCTTGACCTGTTCGATCCTTTTTTATTTCTTTTCTATACCAGGAATGCCTGGTGTACTCAGTGTCATCCGGTAAGCTCTATATTTGATTTATGTAACTAATATTTTGTGTTGTTATCATGCAATATTTTAACATCAATTGCGTTATTTACAGTACATTATATCACGGCGATTTCAGTTCCATTAATGCGTCTTCGTTTTCTTGAATGTCATCAATTGCAGTGAAGGTGGTGATCATTACGAGAAACTGCAGTACTTGATGGTGAAAGAAATACCCTATTGCGCTCATTTTAAGACGAAGTTTTATGTGAAGTCGGAACAAAATGAAGGTCTGTTTACTTTGGATAGGTATGTAGTACTGACTATTGGTAGCAAAGGGGGATGGGAAATGCTCCGACGAAGTTTTTCAATACCGATCTCTTTAGAGTACAAGATGAAGGTGTAGGTAGGGTTTGTGTAAAGTTGAGAACACAGGGTAAGTGAAAAGAAGCATAGGGATGATTGGGGGGAAGTTTTTTTTGTGGCTAAGGCAGGAAGTTTTTGGGTCTGTACAGAGGAATGCTACCTTAGGTTTTCTGATGCAGGGGATCGGCGGTAATGGTTTTCCGATGAGGAGTCTATTCTGGTCAGTGTATATTCGTGGTATGTAATGTTAACGATCAACTTTCGGAACAGCAGTCAAGGTCGTGCTTTTGTCAATTTCTAGTCAATGTTGTGGGTTTACCGTTTGAACCGTTCCTCAATTCAACACTTGTTGTTTGTTCGAATTTTTTTCTGATGTTTTTAGAAATAATATGTTTGATAAGACTGTAGATAGTGAGATTTTTTCAAAATATGTTTTGAGAAGATATTCAGAGACGTGAAGATATATAAACAAGAATATCTTTATTACATTCGGACAAAGTATTCAAGTAAGAATACACGTAATTATGCGATGGACTCATTACAATAAAGAAAGAAACAATGAAATTTATGATTGATAAGGTACAATATTGGCTCACTTTGTTGGTGTTCCTTTCACCTCAATTTGGAGGAACCTAAATTTCTTATACTCTAATACCTTCATCCAATTGATGGTTTTTTTAAAAAAAATTATTCCCAACAGGGAACAACTAGACTAGATACAAATTGGAAGTCTTTTTTAGGAAACCATAATAATACATATAAGAGAAAGGGGCGACGGTCGACAATTAGTCGAACCATCGATAAGGGAGCCTCTATGGTCACGCAACAGACATCTCTTTATACCTATACGGCATGGGCAATATCCATGACTTCTACCCTATAAAGGTGAAAATCATAGAACTAACCATGCTGAAACTGAAGTAGAGAAGCAAATCATTGCAGTTCTAGTAGGAAGAGGCACCTGCAAAATAAACAAAGCGACAACATGAAGCACCAAACAACATCCCAAGTAGACCTAGCCAAGTTGAAATAGCAGTAAGAAGAAATACAATCCTTGTTAGCCAGTGCTGAAATGCCACCTACAAAATGAGCAAACAAACTTGCCCCTAATGATGAATTTTACTATGCTTTAAAGTATTGGTGTTTTAGTTATTTCCTTTGTGGTATAACTTGAAATTGTACCTTTAACGTTATGGTACAACTTCAGGTTGTACCTTTAACGTTATGGTACAACTTCAGGTTGTACC